ATAAACTTAGAGAGGGCTTGGGAAGGATTCCATGGATGAGAATCATCAAGGGGAAAACAACTCAAGAAGCTTGGGAAATTTTGAAAAATGAGATAATAAAAGCACAGTCTAGCACAATACCAACAAAGAGGAAAAATAACAGCTCTCAAAAGAAACCAGCATGGCTGCATAAAGAACTCTCTGACAAATTGAAAGATAAAAAGGACAAGTATAGAAAGTGGAAAGAGGGGAACATAACTAAGTCAGAATATCAGCAAATAGCCCGAGCCTGCAAAGATGAAGTGAAGAAAGCCAAGGCTCAAAATGAACTAAGGCTTGCGACCAAAGTCAAAAATAACAAAAAAAGCTTCTTTCAACATGTAAAAAACAAGAAAAAAGTGAAGGAAATGATTGGTCCATTAGTGGGTGGAAGTGGCAAGAAGGTGACAAGCAACAGGGAGAAAGCAGAATTATTTAACTCATTTTTTGCATCTGTCTTTACACAAAGGGAAAAAACAGACCAACCTATCAAAAATAGTGCCATAAAAAACAAAACAGAAACACAAGTTAAGATAGGCAAGAAAATGGTTAGTGAGCACCTGTCCAGCCTAGATGAGTTCAAATCGCCAGGACCAGATGGATTACACCCCAGAGTTCTCAAGGAACTGGCAGATGTGATATCGGAGCCACTGAACTATATTTTTCAAAGATCCTGGAACACAGGGGAACTACCAGAGGACTGGAAAAGAGCTGATGTAGTTCCCATCCTCAAAAAAGGAAAAAAAATGGATCCAGGAAATTACAGACCTATCAGCCTGACCTCAATACCTGGGAAGATCCTGGAAAAGATAATCAAACAACGAATCAACGAACACCTAGAGGCAAACAAAGTCATTACTAAAAGCCAACATGGGTTTGTCAAAAATAGATCATGCCAGACAAATCTTATTGCATTCTTTGACCAAGTGACAAAATTAGTGGATCAGAGGAATGCTGTGGACATAATTTACTTGGACTTCAGTAAGGCATTTGATAAAGTAGATCACAACCTACTACTTGACAAGATAGAAAAATGTGGGGTAGACAGAACCACCACCAGATGGATCCGTAGCTGGCTGACCGGCCGTACTCAGCGAGTGGTCCTCAATGGAACTGCATCTATATGGAGGGAAGTGTGTAGTGGGGTGCCCCAGGGCTCTGTTCTGGGCCCAGTACTCTTCAACATCTTCATCAACGATTTGGATGAAGGGATAGATGGGGAACTCATCAAATTTGCAGACGACACCAAGCTGGCAGGAATAGCCAACACTCCAGAAGACAGGCTTCAGATACAGAAGGATCTGGACAGACTTGAACACTGGGCACTAACTAACAAAATGAAATTCAATGGTGAAAAAAGCAAGGTTCTACATTTAGGCAAGAAAAACCAAATGCACAAGTACAGCATAGGTGGCACCATGCTCAATAGTAGTAACTGTGAGAGGGACCTCGGAGTCCTAGTAGACAATCACTTAAATATGAGCCAGCAGTGTGCGGCAGCTGCCAAAAAGGCCAACACAGTGCTAGGCTGCATTAACAGAGGGATAGAATCAAGATCACGCGAAGTATTAATACCACTCTTCAATGCCTTGGTAAGGCCACACTTGGAATACTGCATCCAGTTTTGGTCACCACGATGTAAAAAAGATGTTGAGACTCTAGAAAGAGTACAGAGAAGAGCAACAAAGATGATTAGGGGACTGGAGGCTAAAACATATAAGGAACGGTTGCGAGAATTGGGTATGTCTAGTTTAACGAAGAGAAGGACAAGGGGGGACATGATAGCAGTATTCCAATATCTCAGGGGCTGCCATAAAGAAGAGGGAATCAAGCTATTTTCCAAAGCACCTGAAGGCAGGACAAGAAGCAACGGGTGGAAACTAATCAAGGAGAGAAGCAACCTAGAACTAAGGAGAAACTTCCTGACAGTGAGAACAATTAATCAGTGGAACAGCTTGCCTCCAGAAGCAGTAAATGCTCCAACACTGGAAGTTTTTAAGAAGAGACTGGACAGCCATTTGTCCGAAATGGTGTAGGGTTTCCTGCCCGAGCAGGGGGTTGGACTAGATGACCTCCAAGGTCCCTTCCAACTTTACTATTATTATTATTATTATTTTTAAATTATTTTTGTACCTGTTTGTGGAAGTACATTCCTGAGAGTAAATTTTGAAGCCGTGAAATCAATTGAGGCAATTGCAAAAGTTGGGTGGGCTATGTCTGACAACAATTGCAATTCTTCCACTAAACATTGCTGGACCAAGTCTGTTCAGATAGGTATTTTTCTGTATTAAGCATTATTTGATATATATGTACAGTAGTAAAAGTTGGTTTACAAACTTTATTTACTATCCCAATCAGTTAACTATAAAAAGTGGGCCTGTTAGTTCATTTCCTGAGTCCTTTATGATTAAATGTGCTCTTTATGCAACCTGTCTGATCATCTCAGCAAAGAGCATATTACACAATATACATTGTTTAGAAAATAAGATAGGTTACTTACTTCCTCTTATTGAATTAGTTTAAACTGCTAAAAACTTAAGTTTTTACACCTAAAGCATAATATTTAGCAAAGTCTTTCTAACAACAGTCCCTTTAGATCAGTGGTTCTCAACCTTTTTAATGCTGCGACCCCCAACCGGTCGTAAGTCAAGGACTACTCAACCGGTCGTAAGTCGAGGACTACTCAACTGGTGCAGCACCGTTTGCAGAATGGGACTTTTGGCGGGCTCAGCAGGGCAGAGACAGCCTGGACAATTCCTATTGGCTTTTGAAAGCCAATAGAATTAGACTCTATTCAAGAGAGTCTATTCTATTGGCTTTCAAAAGCCAATAGAATAAAAGGGAGTAGCAGAGCTAAGGAAAAGGGGCAAAAAAATGGCGGACTGCGTTGTTTGGCGACCCCTGTGAAATGGTCGTTCGACCCCAAATGGGGTCCCGACCCACAGGTTGAGACCACTGCTTTAGATGCTGTTGATTACAAACCTATCAGCCAACTAAGAGTAAAAGTGACAGAAATTAGAGGTTGTGTAGTGGTTTGTATGATTCTTCCTCTAGGTAATAGGATAAAGACCATGTTAATAGTGGCACTGTGTATTCTCACAACATGCTAATTCATAATAATTTAACATGGTTTAGTCTATATGGCAGGATGAAATCCTATTGTGGTTAGAGTATTGTGCAAACTCAGTTTCTCCCTAGAGAAATATAATATATATGGCATCCCTGCCACAACCATTTTCCTTATTTTTAAATGTATTTTAGGCAGACCATTTGCACAGTATTTTAACTGATATTTTTAAATTTTTTAGTTCTAGGGTTATTCCATTATGATCATTTTTATTGTAAGACAGTTTAGTACCTTATTTAAAACTAGGAGATAAGATGCAACTGTTGGGAGTCTCAAGCAGTGAAGAGACAAGTAAAATAAGGGTTTGCTCCTATTAACTATGTCTCTTGAGCATATTTACTAAAAGCTATCTAAACAGAATCCTCCAAAAATGCTAGTAAAATTGTAGAAATTTGTTATGAATCAGAATGCTGAAGTCTAATTGATCTTCTTCCTCATGCTGTTATATTTCCTGCACTTGAAGGTCTCTGCTAGTATCAGTTAAAGATTCTGGAAAGGTTTTCATAACATTTTAATTTTGATGTCTTCTATTTGCATTTCTGAATTGTTGCTTCTGCATGCAGAATGTTTTATGATCTTCACCTTGTTGCAATGCAGTGGTTTCACTCCTTTTGGTGTGAGTCACCAAAGTTTTTTTCCTCACTAAAGGAGGGAAGCTCTGTGCCAGCCCATATGTGTCCTTGTACAATATATAGGGGGGAAAAATAGCTGACTTCAAATTTCAGGTGGTAATTTCAGATTTCATGACTCAGTAAAGGTCTGTGCTAAAATAACAGGAGAAAAAGGGAAATAATCTCAGCAAACCTTTTAGAATCATAGAATTGGACCTCTATGTCCCCCTCCTCCCACAACTGTTTAAGGCAAAAATCCAAAATGAAGTATTTTCAACTAATATTCGTCCTGATTGTGCCTGGATATTCAACAATGGGCACTCATCTTTTGGTTTGGTGACTTGATTCTGTTGTTCGAACTGCTGCCCTGAAGTTTACCATAAGTAGTTTATTGTGTGATACAGCAGTTGTATTATTGTGCATCCTACACTCTAGGATGATAGAAAATAGATATTTTGGATTTAAAATATTACCCTTTCAAGTATTTGACACCAGTATATCTTACCTGTCTTCTCAATAAAAGCCGTCCCTTTTATTGGATGTTTCTTATGCTTAAGTAATCCTGTGCCTTTCTTAAGCTTTATATTGTCAGATGCCATTTAAGAGCATTAGAGACATAATTTGCTTTCCTTGTATGGTTCCCTATTTTAAACAGAGACCACTACTTAATAGGTTTGGTGCTTTATATGTCCTATTGGTATGAAATTTATTGAAAAAAACGACTTCCCAGAATGGCAAGATTCTCTCTGATGCTTCTCATTATCAGCCTCTTTCCACCTTCCATGTTTATTATGTGTCTGCACAACAGAAATTATGGTATATATATATGAACAGCTTTACGTATGTGGGTTGCCTGTTATATAAATATTGTGTTCATGGAACAAATGTTCCCCAAAGACCAAATTACTATGAATTTACATAATATAAGCATAGTTAATTTTAATGTTGCTTTGTGTGACCTGCCATGATACAAATTCAGCTTATTCACTTAATGGCTCCATAGTGTGCAAATCTCCCAAATGGGCTGGTAATCAAGTAAACGCTATTGATGTGAATATAGTCACTGAGTATTGTATATTAATTGCTTGCAGTATCCCCTAGAAATATTACTATGTTGGATGGATTCATTCAATTTTCTCCCCACTGAATTGTATATTAAGCTATTGTCAAAATCATTTTCGCAGAGTTGACAACTTTTACAGCTGGAAATGAATCAATAATTTCCATTTTTCATTGTTTTGCAGTTTGAAAACAATCTTGGTGGGGAATCCTCTGGACAACACAGTGGACTTGTCTGGCATCCCTTTGACTATGAAGGAGTTAGATCGGCTTATCTCATACCTCCAGCACAGCTCTGAGTATGTTGAAAATGTGGAGCTTTGCTTCACGGAGCTGACAGATGAGATGTTCCTCCAGCTTTTGCCAGTTCTCTGTGCCCTACCTTGTCTCACAACTCTTTCCCTTAATGGCAACAGGCTTACAAAGGCCATCCTCCGGGACCTGACTGAAGCTTTGAAGGATACCAGAAACTTCCCCAGCATGACTTGGATTGATCTGGGCAATAATGTGGACATATTCTCTCTGCCACAGCCCTTTCTGGTTAGCCTTAAGAAACGAAGCCCTACCCAAAGCAATCTCCCAACTATTCTTGAATTTGGTGAAGGTCAGGTAAGTGACCTTGAGAGCCAAGAAGGTCTTTCGTCACAGGATGAAGACCAAAGTGATGGTGGCTTGGAAGACACTAAAACCAGGCAGGTATGGACAGGTGAAGCTATTGAAGTTAAGCTGCTGCCAAATCAACCTACAAATCAAGAACAGATTTCTACTGGTTTGTGTCAGACATGAAACAGTGGCCTCTCATTTGCCTAGGATGTGCCAAATGGATCCTTTATAACCAAAGGATCTTGGCCAGTTTATGCTAATGAAGCTCTCTTCTGATAAAAATTTGCAGGACCAAAAAGGGGAGGCCAAATTACAGTTTGCTGCAATTCACATATTAATGATTTGCTAAAATTTTTACCATTATATAGAATTATACTGGAAGGGATTATTTACGCTAAAGTCTAATTACTTGCTCAGTGCAGCATCCAAATCAATGCATCCCTTTAATTCCTGAAACCTTGTAGTTATCAAAGGGATGATTGCTAGTTGACTGTTCAGTCGAAGGTATAAGAAACACAAAACAATGCAATGCTGCTATTGAGCCTGTTTTTTTTTTTAAGGTTAAATACTTTTAGTTAAATACACTAATCAGAATTTTCACATTAGGTACATAAACAATTCTGTACTCAGTACTGAGCTTTTACTTTCCAAATGAATTATTTTGAATAAAAACTTAGGTGGGAAACATGCTTGGGTAGAAAAAATTTAATCCCATGGATTAAAACAGGAACATGTTAATCAACTCATCAAAACAAGTCTGAATGTCTCACTGAATAATCACTGCCAAGATGATAACCATCACTACTGTACCTTCTGCATTTCATTCTCTCCCAATTTATTGTCTCCTGTCCCAAATAAGCCATGGATGTGTACCTATCTCAGGTTATGCCATGAATCTAATGAATTTGGCTGTAATCCATGAGTTTTATTTGTAAAGTCTTAAGGTGCTACAAGATTGCTGAGCTTCAAATGTAATTTTATAAATCAAAGCAGTGTGAGACAGCAGGGCTGAAAAACTTGGACCTTCTGAACTCCTACTGCCTCTATAACAAAATAAAATTTAAATACCACAAGAGAAGACACTATGCATTGGTAGATGACACAGTAGGTTGCATTGGTTAATAAAGCAAACAAGTCAGTATGAATGAAAAAAATCCCCATTCTCTTGCTTAACGTGTGTGAATTGGTGGTACTTAAAAACATGTGCCTTCCTGGTGGGGAGGGGGTGCCTTTTCTAGTTAGCAAGACCTTGCTCTAGGCACCAGGGGATGAAATGTGGGTGATGGCAGCCCCAGGTATTTGTTGCAAGCCGCTCTAATTACTTTGTGGAAAAAGTGCAGCTTTCAGTTACTCTGGATTTCATCACTGTGGCACAGAAGAGACAGTAGAATCAATTCAGCTCTATAGTGTCTATTTCCTAATGTTCTTAGGTACCTGGACTACATACTTAGAGGAGCTCAAGCCACCAACCAATCCTTTGCAGCACTTGACTGTCATGAAGTAAATGTGGGCTTTTGTCATTTTTCTGAGCTACCCCATGAAGAATCTTGCCCAAATTAACTATCATGCCAATCTCGTGTGAGCTTTCAATGCTATAGTTTTGGCACATCAAAGCATTTCGTCCTGGCAGGTTTGAGGAGCACCCTAACACCTTTCAGAGTGGGCTCAGATTAGCAATTGCTAGGACTAATCTGCTTTAGGGATGAGGTGTAGACCTGACCAATTTTCAGGATCAATGTTTTACCCTAAAATCCCATTGCTATTGTGCCCATTTTTGACTACTTGCATGTTTTCAGTAGTGTCAGTCTGGTACTTCATAGAAATCAGCAGCTCCATATTGTCCTTGTTTGCATGTAGTCCGTCTTTTCTATGCTTTGTCAAGAAATAAAAACTTGTTTGGAAGGTGTCTTGTTTCTCCTAGTAAATGGGGAGCTAAATCTTGTGCAGCTGCTGAATGGAGCTGGGCAGTCATTACACTGAATTATACAGGGAGGGTGGGTAGTGAGCATCACCACTCCTAAAGTGTGAAGTTATGCTCACATCATTCCAATCCCATTAATCCAAAACACAATATGGAGGCTTAGTTAAAGTTTGGTTTTTTTGTAATTTATATCACATGAACAGTCTGAATGTTCAAAATAAAATAAAAGTAACATTTTATTTTTATATCCCTCAACTGCAATGATTAGGAAACTAGGGACATGCATAAATCAACTCAAAATCTGCAACTGGAACCAATTCCTCCTTCTATGGAGTTGGTCTAATAGCACAAAAGACTTTTGCCCCCATAGGAAACTAGCCCAATTCACAATTCCACAGAAAAATTAAGAGAATAGACATTATCCAATGCATCTGTTAATGAAACAATGATTTATTAAGACAGGCAATTGCTTAAGTGTTATTTGCTTTTATAAAGAGCATTCAGGAAACACATACATCTTCCAGGGAGGCTTCCTTCAAGCCACAATTATAACATTGATAAGCATAATGGCAGAAGAGATGCCATAATCTGCATGAATTTCCAGTATTGGATACAAAATTGACAGAAGCAAAACCGAATGGTGGCATCATCAAACTTAAACTCTGCCATTTCTTTAGCTCATTGTTGAAGCTTAGCTGCAGTGTAGTCTTATTTCACAATTTAAATGCTATGAATAAAAATTGTAAATGTGCAGAGCCTTAATTGCTTGAATTAATGTTAACAGTTCACCTGCTGTTATTTTTCCATGTAACTTCAATAAGCATTTTATCTACAGGCTTAAGTAAAAAAAATCTTAAAAGGCTGCAGAAAAGTAATGGAAACTGTTAACATCTGGAACATACCAGTTTCACTTTTAGGCACATCTGCATAATGATCAGCTTTCCTTCCCTTGTCACTTCGTGGCTGAACTAATGCCACTCATTTTTCATATAGCCACCTAGAACTTTCAGTTAAAGCCAGCATTCCATAGGTGTGGGGCGCATTTAATTTAAGACACCCTAACCATACTACATTCAATTGAAAGTGCTATTACCTCCAAAGTCCTAGATTTATTTTATTTATTTTTAAAATTTATAAGCTGCCCCACTCCTGGAGGACTCTGGGTGGCTAACAATAAAAACACATAAAACATAACAAAACAAACAGTACAAGAACTATCCAGGGGTCAGATTTTATAAACCCCAGGCCTGCCGGAAAAGCCAGGTCTTAAGCAGCTTACGGAAAACCAACAGGGTGGGAGCGGTCCTAATCTCTGGAGGGGAACTGGTTTCAAGACGTGGGTGCCATCAGAGAAAACCCTCCTCCGCGGCCCCGCCAAATGGCACTGCTTGGCCAAGACGGGACCTAAAGGAGGCCCAGCCTGTGGGATCTCTAACCGGACGAAGGGAACTATGAAGTAGTAGGCGGTCTCGCAAATAGCCGGCTCTGAAACTGGACCCATTTAGTGACTGTGTACAACAAAGGGAAGAGAAGCTAAGCTTGTAAGTTTACTGCCACAATAATGCAGGAAAGAATGTCTTTGCCTCAATATATGGGTCATCAGACATCTCAAGGGAAAAGTGTGGACACTTTCAGTAGTCTTGAGGGCATTGTAGTGTTTGTCCAAGCCTGAAATAGATTTTACAAATTGGTTATCAACCTACATTGAAGCACTTTCTACTTGTATTAATAATAGCTTCTTATATGAAGTCTCTGAATATTCATTTATAACAGACTTAGCGAGAAGAGCAATATCCCTAATCAATATTCCTAGGTCCCAGCAAAATACATTAACATTCCAGCATTCAAATTTAGAGATCTTTTTTAATATGACTGTGTTTCTCTGAAGACAGCTTTCAAATTATCCAGATTATCAGATAGGGTCTCAGCTACACAAAGGATGAACTGGATACTTACCTACCTCCATGCATTAGTGTATTCCTCTAAAATCTTCTTTCAGTTCTCAACTTTAATAATGCAAATCTGGTCTGTGATTTTAACCATGTTCACAGCAGTACAATTAGTGTATCTAATAAGCCTCTTCAACAAAATCTGGAGGGACTTCCATCTTTGAAGACTGGGTAGGTGAGAAATCTAAAGAATAAAGAAAAATAATTGGGAAAAAAGGACTTCCAGCTGCCAAGCTAGTTTGGTGTATAGGTTAAAATCCTAGAAACCACAATGACAGAATTTTAATCCCAATTTAGGTGTGCAAGCTGGCTGATGTTTGGCCAGTCACTCTCTTGGCCCAATCCATCTCACAGGGATAGTATTGTGAGGAAAACAGGAGAGAACATCAGGAATGTCGTTGCTTTCAGTTATTTATAAAGTAATTAGTAAAAAAAAATAGCCATTTGTTTTCTCTCAAATAGGAAAAAATCTTGCCTTATCCAGATTATCAATTCAAATTCTATTACAATCCCAAGGCCAGATACAAGCAATACTTAATAAAAACCAAGTTTTACATCTGTGTAAGAGAAAAACATGAACTATAATGGAGCCTAAAATTAAAAACATGGTTACTAAAATTAATCCAAATAAAATAAACTCCAATCCTAAGTAATGGTACAGCATACTGCAGAAATGATAGCACAGAACTGGGCAACTTGAGAGGTTATTTTCAAGTCCTTGTCTTTTAGTAGCATTAAACAGAAATTGCACTTCCTGAATTTTTTTTCAAGACACCATATATAAGGGTCTTTCTAGACACCTTATACAGGGAACAGTATAATAGTGTGTGGCCTAGAATTTCTGTTAAGAACTATCACCACATGGACATAACCAAAGAACACCAGGAAGGACTGCTGAGGACAGTATCCAACCTGGCTAAAAGTGGAGGACTTACAAAAAAATTAAAATTAGAAAGGATTTTAAATATGTAGCTGGATACAAATGATAAATAATGCGAGTGTGACACCTTATTTAGGCTTGTTTGAAAATCTATATCCCAGATTTGTTGCTTAAGGGCAGTTCTAGCATTATCAAAGCCTAACATGCACAAACTTTCCACAGAAGTCCAGCAACTAAATTATATCTTGTCCAGATTCTGAATTGCTTGAAATCCAGAGCCAAATCTGATTTATTAGCAGAACCTGATATAATAGTTTGTTCTGGGTTGGAAATATACTGCTCAAAAAATATAAAGGGAACACAAGCGTTTGTGTTCCCTTTATTTTTGTGAGCAGTATATTTTTGCATGTTGCACCCACCCTTACAAGCCAGAAACTATCCATTTAACTTACATCTTTCCAGTCATGGGTTGGCATTTCAATCACAACTGCTCATCTTGGAGGGCAGCTTCTGGCTCCCTGAAGAAAGAAGACAGGCTTGTAATAAGAGTGTTTGGGGAACAATGGTTTTCCCTCCATAGAGGCTACTCAGAAAGACCATCTCAACAGCAAGTGTCTGCCGGTAATTCCAGCGTATTTAAGGTTTTATATCATCATAGTGAGCCTTCGTTCCATAGTATCCAACTTCAGAGATTCATAAATTTACCTTTGGATGTTTCTCCCGCAACTCTACACACTGGTTCTTTCGATGTCTTTTTGAAGTTAGATCCCACATGGCAGCAATGGCAGAAAACCTGCAATACAATCCAAGATAAAATATATGATAAAGTACCTCAAAAAAAGGAGATTTCTGTAAAGCTAGTGGGAGGTTGGGCCTATCTCCTCTTCCTCCTTTTTTTTGTCCGGACTGAACATAGGCCTGTCTCGGGAGGAAAAAACAGTAATAGAGGAGGGGAGGGCAACTCGCGGTCAGCCATGAGGAGTCTTTCGTCAGTTCTCGCATCTGACGGCACTTCCTATCTCGGCATCATCACCCCGCGAAGAGGGGGAAAAAAGCCTCACTCTCAACCTACGCGAGGCGCCATAGGCCCCCACGTAACAAAAAAAGCAGGGAGAATGTTGGCTCGCAAAAAAACCAGAAAAGGACCGACCCGTCATCCCCGCAACTCACACCCTTTTTGTGGGGCACCATGAAATCTCTCACCTCCCTCCAACAACACAAAGCAGAAATGTGACGAAGCGCGAAAAAGAACGAGAAGCTTCCACGCGGTCTCTTTTAAGGGAGGGGGACAAACCATTGGATGGCGGGGATGGGTGGACCGGGAAAAAATAGCTGCTGATTGGTTCGCATATACTATGTCACGGCTGCAAAATCGCGGGGGAGAACGGAGATGGATTGAAAGCGGGAATATCTTGGGAGGTTTTCCGGGTCAATAATATGGGCGGGGAAGAAGTAGTGAGACGTATCTACATATAGGCGAACAGCAGTGGTTAAAAGGGATCGATCCTCTGGGATGTGCTTTTCATCGCGGAACGTTGCTGAACGCAAGAGGAGCGCAGTCGCTAATAATTACAACTTAATTGTTGGGGGGTGGGATTAGTGATGTCAAATTAAGAATCGGGATTTCCCATATTAGAAAAAAAAGCGTGACTTAGAGAAGCAAGCCACCCTCAGATTGTCTGCGTCTGCACATAAGATGCTGTTATAATCACGGGTCATATTTGGGTGCAGCCAAATAGAATAGGTGGGCTCACTGCGAAGTGTCTTTCTGTTCGCCAAAGGTGAATCTAGCTGCCGGTGGGGAAGTGATAACTTGACACCTTCTTACTAAAAGATCCTAAACTTTTTGCCATCCCTCCGTTGTGTGAAGTGACTTCAATGAAAGGAGCTTAAATTAAGTTTTATTATTCACAGATAGAAAGTAATGTAGCTGTAAATCAGCACGTACTACATAACAAACAGATGGTTCAGTATTTATTTTAGAGCATAAACATTTATAAAGACTTGTATTAAGCCCTTGCACAATTGGGGCTGTCAGGTCCATCTTTGGTGTCCTCATAAGTCCTGTCCAAAGTGCCGTTCTCAAGCACCCAAAGACAGAGCCAACCAGAAAAGAAGTACCCCGGGGGTGAGAAAAAAAGTTAAGGAAATCTTGCAGGAACACAGGCTGCCTCTGCAAATTCAAACTTGTCTTCCTATAATGTTTCATGAGGAGTGATGCTTCTGACCATATCACCATCCATGTCTAACAGGAGACAGGGTTGATATTCCTCTACCCAAGGAGACAATAATAGCCCTGGGTTGCTTAGCTAAATAGGCCAATGTGATGCATTCCTTAACCCATCTGCTGAAGAAGAAGGCTATTACTCATATTCCTAGAACGTTTGCCCAAGAGGAAATGAACAGACTCTCTGCCTTCCTGTGCCCTTGAGTGTGCTTGATGTTAAGTTCTGAAGGTCAAGTGCACATCTATCTTATGCCAGCTTTTGAGCACTTGAAAGGATTTGGCAGAAATTTGGAACCAAAATTAACATTGGAATTCACCAAAGGCATAGAACAAGGTTTATGTGGAACCGTGTGCCCTATAAAAATTGGAGTTCATCTCAGGTCTGAGGGATGGTTCTGATTTTAACATCACCGTAACCTGGTAAAAGAGATAAATCTTCCCTCACAGAGCCATTAATTTCCTAACCTTTTTGGCTGAGCTTAGAGTAACTAGGAAACCCATTTTATCCCCAGGAATGTTCGTTGGAAGCTGTTTAATAGACATAAGGGGAATGTGGTCAATTCCTAGAAAACTAACCTAAAATCCCATGAAGATAATTGGGAGGTGAAACTTGTGCCTTTAAGAAACCAGCATGCATAGGTACCCTGAAAGAGGCTCTGCCATTTGTCCAAAAGAATGGACCAGGCATGAGTATCCCATGTGATATCTGATAGCAGTTCTTTGCCTATCCAGCTTGTAGAAATCTCAGAAATTCCAGTTCCTTATCTTATTGCTATAAAAAAAATTTCTACACCACCATTCAAATATTGTCCAGGTTTTCTGATATAGCTTCCTTGTAGTGGGATGTCTAGTTACCAAAACAATCTCTACTTTGACATGCCAGCATAGAACACATGCCTCTGTTCATCCTCCAGATACAGCTCGTAACTACTCTGGATCTGTTAGGCTTAGCAGATCTGTTTTGTGTTCACACATGCCTGCAAGGCGCTTGCCTCATCTCTACTAAGATTGCACACCATAACCTCCTGGGCCAGATTAGTTGAATTCCTGAGCATCTTTATCTTGCATGCTGCCTAGACAGCTATTGGCAGGAATATATAGAAAACTCCACCTTGCATAATGTAAACAACACATTATTTCCCTCTACCCAGTAGTCATGGAACTTGAAGGAAAAAAACAGCTCGTCTGCTGTCATAAACAGATTGATGGAGATCTCTCCCCTTTTCTGGAGTTCATTGGATGTAGTATCCATTTGCAGACATAAAGGAAAAAGACTTGAAAGAAAGAGGCCAGATTCATTAGCAAAGTGATAAAAGCTGGCTTAAGCCCCAAGCAAGAAGAAAACGTGTGCAAGCAACTCAGGCAGACACCTCCCTACTTTGCATGAGTATAAAGGGCCAGGGGTACAGGTGGGTGGGTAATAAAGCACAGTCAGATTTGTAAGATTCTGTTGCTGTAATTAATATTAATAAAAATGGTTTTACATTTTTTGTGGAATGGATGTCTAGGTTTAGAGGGGGCTGAAACCCCTTTATATATTCTGCCAATATGAAGACCAGAGATCACCCATCTCATCAGATGGCTTGCTTCCTACTGGAGGCCCTTTGATTTTGTCCCAACCCAGTACTGATGTAGGCTTTTGTCATTCGTATCAAAATAGCTCTCCCATTACTGCCCTTACTATATGCTCCAAATCTATCACTGCCAAATGCCCCAATCTCAGGGTACTGGCAGTAACAACTTGGACTGCAACCACTGGCCTTGGGCTAAGTGGGAGAGAAGACCCACCCCCCAGTCTGGCTGTTGTTAGCCAGCTCTCTGAAAGGCCTTCCTCCTACCGTCTGGGTGATTCTCACCACCACAGCAAGGATCTAGCAAACTGGGGGAGACTGCCAGGAACAACCAGGAACTGCAGCCGATTTGCTTTTGGAATGGGAATAAGAATTATTTAAGAAATCTAGAATGGAAGTGTTCATCTGACACCACATCTCCTATCATTACAATGCTCCCTTGAAGTCTTTCCAGAGACATAAGGAATTTCTGTTAAATATTAAAACCTTTCTTATAGTACTCTGCAGTTTGACTGACTTCTGGACTTAGTAAGGATTCTCTTTATATCAGTCACGCAATATCTTTCTGGAAGGAGTGAATGCACTCTTTGTTGTGTTCACTATTTTTCAAAGAAAATATTCCTCAAATTTATGCCATCATCTCCCAAGCGAATTCATTTATTCATTTTATTCCATTTATATACTGCCCATCTCATTGATAAGATGACTCTGGGTGGCTTACAAAAGGTAAATATTGGAACAATCAAAAAGACCAAGAAGAATGAAGGGCAAATTCACCACGGAGTCTATGGAACCAGCACCAGCACAGCTATTCTCCAATCCCAAATGTTCTCAAATCAGCCCTATCTTTACTGTTGTCTCTGAATGTTGAATGCAGGATAGGGAATATAGTATTGTGCTGTGAGCTGATCAGACTCCCTCTAGTGGTGCTATAAGAGACTTGCAAAACTCATCAGCCAATATCGGTCTCTGAGTTACAGTAGGTCCTACACAATATCTGAAAATCCCTAAATATCTAATATACTATCTACCGCTTTATTTTGCAAAATAGAAATTACATTAAAGGGCATCACACCATCTAATTTTACTGAAAAACAGAAGGTGGAAAGAAGAATAGCAAAACAAAGCACTGACTTTTACCAGAAAGTAAAAGAAACAAAGGAAGCAGAACGTGCCTAATGCACATCAGTTTATGTATGTATGTATGTATGTATGTATGTATGTATTTGTATCCCTTTATTATTTTCACAAATAACTCAATGTGGAGAATATACACACCTTCCTCCTCCTACTTTCCCAACAACAACCCTGGGAGGTGAATTGGGCTGAGAGAGAATGACTAGCCAAGGTCACCCAGCTGGTGTTCCTGGGTAAGGTGGGACTAGAACTCACGTCTCCTGGTTTCTAGCAGGCTAGCTAGATCTTTTTTCCAGTCAAGGGATGTTGGGGGGGGGGGGAAGCGAGACGAACTCCCCCCCCAACCCCAATTTCTTGCTAGGAGCTGAGGGGACAGAAAGATTATCCCACTGATCCTTCAGCCATTTCACAGTCTGCCAGCCGTTCTCTCTCGCTGGGCCAAAGGGCTGGCTTTGAATGGGCGGAGGATGACCCTCGGAAGAGGGACAGCGCTGCCCTTTGCCTTGGCCTATAATTGGCCGCTCTTCCTTTCCCGCCCTCCCTGGTAGAGCGTGGATAGAGACCCAAAGCAGGCGCCAGGAGGAGCCGACAGTTATTGCTGCTATCCCGCCTCCTCCGCTCTGTCCTGGAGAAGAGAAGGCTCTTCTCGCGTTAGACTCCGCCTCTTCACCAACCAGGGACGGACGCAGACTAGAGTTGCTGGGACCCGGGTACGAGCGGTGGGTGTTTCCGCTTTTGGGGGGGGGGGGAGGCTGAAGAATCGCGCGCGCGCAGACCCAAACAGAAGAGCAGCCGCTAGCCATCGTTTGCAGGCATCGAAAAGTTCCCAGCTGCGGTGGAGGCCCCCAATTCATCCGTCATCCGTAGCCCCGCTCGCTGCCACACCGGTGGGAGTGTAATTCTCAGCCCTGAGACCCTCTTGGGCAGTTCCGCGACGCGCAGAAACGCGGAACTTTGCAAAATGCTTGGCTGGGCCACTAATTACTGGGGTTTCCTCCACGCTGTCCCTCTGCGATTGCTGGGGCGGCCGTTTTGATAACATGTTGGAAGGGCGAGCACTGGAGACTCGCTCGGAGTGGAGTTTCAATTAAATTGAACGATTCTACCAAATTGCAGCAGCTCTGATCGTGGGGAGCCGGCCCAGGGTCCCTCGTGTCTAATTTGAAGGCAGGCTTCACAAGCGCCCTAATGCTGGGTTAATAAATGCAGTTGTTGTATAGGCTGCACATGGTCTGTCCAAAGCAGTTAGCTACATTGGTGATAATTTGAACCATGCTAGCCATTTTAACCAAGTTGTGGGAACCCACTTATGATTTTGGAGCAGGACAAAGTTTCGCAGAATCAGTCTGCTAAGGGACTGGAGAGGTAACTGATACAGCACATAGAGTAATAGACAGGTGAATTTAGTCTGATGGGCAGCCTCCTGAGCTATATCATGCAGAATACCTTGTAGTTGCTGGCTGTTGAACTCTCAAAATCTGTAACTCAGAACCAGTTATGGGGAACTCACTCCGGTCTGGTCTTGCTGTCTCTCCACTGTGCATCTGTTTTTAAAGAGAAGCACTTTTGCTTTGAGGCTATTATTGCCAGACTTTAGCTGTCAAAGGCCAAGCATATACAGGTGGTCCTTGACTTACAACAGTTCAAAGTTACAGCAGTGCTAAAAAAGGGACTTAGGACCATTTTTCACACTTACAACATTGCAGCATCCCTGTAGTTTTATGTGATCAAACTTCAGATGCAACTGGTTCATATTTATGTCGGTTGCAGTGTCCTGGAGTCATGTGATCACCTTTTCCAACCTTCTGACAAGCAAAATCGATGGGGTAGCCAGATTCACTTAACAACTGTGTTACTAAATTAACAACTGCAGTGATTCACTTAACAATTGTGGCAAGAAAGGTCGTCAAATGGAGCAAAATTCACTTAACAAATGTTTCACTTAGCAACCAAAATTTTGGGCGCTATTGTGGTCGTAAGTCAAGAACTATCTACTTCTGAGCCCAGCCAGTAGATTTATCCCTTTGATTAAATTAGTCCTGAGCTTGTAAAGAGCTGTTCCAGGCAAGAAGTCGATAAGCTAATATTATGGAAACTCTAATTGTCAAGCATTCTCAAAGACCAAACTATCAATGTCCTGTGTCATCGCCGATGGGCTTATACATTATTCTTAAATTAGCTACTGAAGTAATTCATTTTCTGAGTTTATGTGTTGAAACATAAATTAACTGGATAGACGGAGCTTGCATAACAGACTGAATCACCCTAAAAGCTAATCAAAATTAACAGTAATCAAGCATTCCTTACTGTGTGGTTGTAACTGTAAGATCTTTATCTTTAACTGAGCCAATCATGAATGTTGTGCAAACTCAGCCAGAGATTATTGCACTATTCATTTCAATGATGTTTGGGAAAATGAGCAAAAGGATGATGCCAAGCTTACAGGGAAAAGGAGCTCAATATGGCATGGAACCCATGCTTTGCTTCAGGACAATGTGAGAGGTAAGGTTAAGCAAAGCCATGCCACCTCAGTGGGATGAAGACCTTGAAGCTCAGCCTAGGCCAGCTTTTCTTAGCCTTGGCAGCTTGAAGATGTGTGGATTTCAACTCCCAGAATTCCCCAGCCACCAAACCTGGAAAGACTCAAAATCAACTGTAAGAGCTTATTTGATTTCTCACTGCCTACAGGGATTCTTGACCTTGGCAACTTTAAGACTTGTGGACTTCAATTCCCAGAATTCCTCAGACAGCTTTGCTGGCTGAGGAATTCTGGGAGTTGAAATCCACAAGTTTTAAAGTTGCCAAGGTTGAAAACCCCTGGCCTACAGTGTACCGAACGGAGGAATTCTCAGGCTGCAACTGAAAATTGCTTACAGAGGATAATTTTATCTTTTTTTTTTTCAGTTTCTTGCTCTATGGTCTTTCCCCAATTTTTCCCTTGCAGTTTTATTGGTGAAAGGAACAAAGTCAAAGAGGAAAGCAAGTAAACATGACTAAGCATATCCAGTTAATCCACAAGCTAACTATTTAATTATCATTATGTTGGCTTGTCCCTTTTAGAAACAAAGTACAAAGGGCAATGGTAATGCTAGGTGAAGGGGATTAGATGCAAGTCTTATTCCTACAACCCTAAACACAGTTACCTGTTAGAGGAAGTTGGCTCTATGTGCTTATGTGGCAAATGTATATTCAGAGATGAAACTCTTGAAACATTTTTGATGTACTTTTGATCGGGTTAGCATTAGCCCCAGCAATGGAGCTATTGGAATGATACTTAGCATCTTGCTTTTTGTGTACCTTTCTGAGATTAAATGCCGATACTCATTCCTAGGAACACTACAGCCTAGTGTTTCTAGCCCTGATTAATTTTGTTTATTTGCTTTATAGAAAAATGAAACAGACTCTTTCCTTAATTTTTATCACACGCATCTGACAGAGAATTCTGAGTTTATTAATCTTACATTTTAGTTAAATACAACCAAGCATGTATTTAATGATTTTCCAATCATTCAAAATGATTATTGTCTCAGAAATAGCAACATAGTTGGGTCTAGGGCTCCATGCTTTGAGATCTTGTCTATTTCTGGCAATGTGACCACTTTCTATCCCTATGCTCAAATATCTCATTTATTTCTCCCCTCCAGTTATTCCAATGATGATCTTTTGGACTTTGAGTGTCCTGACTGTTCTGTCTTATCCCCTGGAGTCAAAGGGAAGACTGGAGGGTTCATTTGCAATGCTTATTGTAGGTATCTCCTACTTTTCCCCTGCAGGCCCTTCTGCAAAATGGTACCAACGAAGCTGCGTGTGGCAGTAATTGGGGCAGGAGCAGCAGGACTGTGCGCCGCCCGGCACATCCTTGCCTCTTCTGAGACTTTTGCTCCACCGGTGGTGTTTGAGGCCTCAGATCGCTTGGGAGGCACCTGGATTTACACAGAGGAGAAAGAGGATGCCATGGGAAGAACCATCCACTCCAGCATGTATCGTGACCTCAGGTAGTCGCCCAAGGGTGCTGCAGCCTCTCTGTGCTTTGGGATGGGTTCTTTATGCCCTTCTCTACTAGTGTACTAGACAGCATAGGAGGAGGCCTCAGGCAGCTGTTCTTTAAATGCAAAAAAGAATGGAATCTGGGCAGGGGAGAGGAGTGGAATGCAGTACGAAAGGGTGCTTTATCCTGCTTCTACTCCTAGGACCAACCTGCCCAAGGAATCAATGGCCTTTCCAGATTTCCCCTTTGACCCATCACTGCCTTCATTCTTGCACCACTCGGATGTTCTGGCCTACCTGGATAGCTATGCAGAGCAGTCTGGAGTCTGTGACCATATCAGGGTGAGAGATGATCGGGCTGTTAGAAGCAGAGGGTGGCAGAGCAAAATGAGGCACATGCTCCCTGGGAGAGGATGGGAGCACAATAAGTTGCCAAGGTTTGTCTCTAGATCTTTCAGTGCAATACAGATTAAATGCTGTTCATATTATTATCACGGTTGGTTGCACAATGAGCCAGATGTTTAGAAGGGATTTGGCATTTCTGTATGCTTATCAAGCCCTTCCCAAGGAGCTGAAATTATTATTTTTATCCTGAGATTGATGATAGATAGATAGATGAGAGCGAGCGAGAGAGTCAACTTAAGGCAACAAACATGTGATACTCCTGCCTCCTATTTTCCCCACAATAACAACCCTCTGAGATGGACTGGGCTGAGAGAGAGTAAATGGACCAAGTCATCCAGTTGGCTTTCATGACTAAGGGAGGCATATAATTCACAGTGTCCTGGTTTCTGGCCCAGCACTTTCACCACTGCGCCATTAGTTTTGTTGCAGAATATTCAGAGCCTTACAGATCCAGAGCTAGCTGGTTTCTGGGAACTCCACCTGTTCTCTTCCATTTTTCTTCACTAGTTCCAATGGCAAGTGGAGAAGGTCAGGCCTGTTGAGAGGGATGCAGGCAGCCTAGGTGGCTGGGAAGTCACAGCAACAGTGCAGCACCCAGAGTCAACTCAGCAAGTCAAAGAGCACTTTGATGCCGTCATGGTCTGCACTGGGTAAGTCCTACTTGAGCTGGGCTGGGGCAGGGATGGTGCTTTTGATAAGCAGAGAAGAAGCAATAAATAATAGCCTGTGAAGTTTTTGCTGTTCTTGTTGCTGCTTTGCGGGGAGGTCAAGATTCAAAGAGAGTGGAGATGACTAACCTCCTCATGATTGCTGCAAAATCATGTTAGAATGAATCAAAAGCCGGGAAAATCACTTGATGCTTTTGTAAATCAAGAAAGAAAAGGAGAATATGCTGTGATGCTTGACATGTCTCTGTTCTCCAACCTCCATCCTAATAATTTTATTTCTGCAGCCATTACACTGTCCCATTTATACCTCCCATTCCTGGTTTGGACACTTTCCAAGGTAAGCTTTAAATCTTCCTTATTCTTTAGTGACAAGGGTGAACTTGCGGCTGGATCAAGTTAAAACCATCAGGTCCAGCATTTTACTTCCTCCATTGTCCAATCAATTGAAATAGTCTCTAGACCAGCGGTAGGCAACCTCGGCTCTTTTATGACTGGTTTACTTCAACTTCCAGAATTCCTGAGCCAGCCATGCTGGCTCAGGAATTCTGGGAGTTGAAGTCCACGAGTCATAAAAGAGCCGAGGTTGCCTACCCCTGATCTAGACTCTATAGAGGCTTATTTAATAGACAAATACAATGTATTTATTACATTGTCCAACCAGGGACCCCTGGAAAATGCTTAACAAGAGGAAGAAGGCTATAGGCTTTTTTTCTGTTGTCGTTCCCTTATCGCTGATGTTTAAATGTAGGCTGCCTCTAAAAATTAATGTTTCATGTAGCTCACCCCAGTGCCTAATAGTCAATTTTACAAACACACACACACGTGCACGCGCACGTGTGTGTGTTTGTTTTTTGTTGCAGTGCAGAGTTACACGAGACAGCCATCCTTATATTAAAATTATTTGTTTTAAAATTATTATGACGATAATGCTACATAATACTTTTTTATACATTGCTACCATAAGCTGGGGAGGAAAGCTATGGCAAATTTAGACAACATACTAAAAAGCAGAGACATCACTCTGCCAATAAAAGTACGTTTAGTCAAGGTCATGGTTTTCCCAGTTGCAGTGTATGGCTGTGAAAGTTGGACCATAAGAAAGGCTGAGCACCAAAGAATTGAGGCCTTTGAACTATGGTGCTGGAGAAGACTCCTGCGAGTCTCCTGGACTGCAAGGCAATCAAACCGGTCAGTCCTAGAGGAGATCAACCCTGACTTCTCTTTAGAAGGCCAGATCCTGAAGTTGAAACTTGAATACTTTGGCCACCTAATGAGAAGGAAGGACTCACTGGAGAAGAGTCTAATGCTGGGAAAGATTGAGGGCAATAGAAGAAGGGGACAACAGAGAATGAGGTGGCTGGATGGAGTCAATGAAGCAGTAGGTGTGAGCTTAAATGGACTTCAGAAGATGGTAGAGGACAGGAAGGCCTGGAGGAATGTTGTCCATGGGGTCGTGATGGGTCGGACACGACTTGGCAACTAACAACAACACCATAATCTGCCTGACTGAATGAATGCAGAGAATATAAAGTTTCTACTTCAGGGCCCAGAATTGTTACATAGTTGAATAGCACATTTATAAAAGAATAAGTAAAGAAATAAACTGTTCCCTTTCCCCTTTAATTCTAAGAGGGCTAAATTCTATCTTTGTAGCCGAAGAGCAAGGAATAACCCCTCCTTGTTGTATCTCAATGCCTCCAGGAAGTGCCAGGCATTTTACCAGACTAGGATTTCGAAAACAAGAACAAAGAGGAGGAAATTTCATTAAATGGAGGCCATTTAGCTTCTAAAAATTGAATACAATGCTCCAGAGATAGTACAAAGAGCCTGCTTAAGTTCTGGGAATAGGCCAGGAGGAACACTTCAAGAGAAGGAAGTTCTCATATAGTACTGACTGACAGTTCCCAAGTATCCAAAGGGTATGATAAGAAGGAGTTAGAGAGGTTTCATTTAACCTTTCTTTTCTTAATCTTTCATTTAACAAGATCAGACAAAGATCTAGCAAATACTTTTGCACAACCCATAATCTGTAGTTTATAGCCAGCTGAATCAAAGCCAGATATTTAATTCTTGCTAACCTTAGGTTTTTGTAATTTAGCATCGGGTGCAAATTCAGTTTATTTGGTGACTCTGTAGTTCCAGTGTAGACTCAGAGAAAGCAGCTGAGTTAAGCATGTCCTGTGAACAAAGTCAGACCCTCCCTATTTTGCCGGGGATTGCAGCATTGTTGGTGTCTGGTTTCTGCCTTTCTGTTCTGAGTAGATCAAGTGAGCAAAGTCATCTTCACCCTCCACCACCTCACCAAAGCCACCAATAGGTAAAGCAAATGAGCAAAAAGGTGCAGGCAAGAGGAAAGTGGAATAGTGCCAGCCTTTTGAGGTAGTCCAGACAAGAAGCACAAACCATGAGTATGAATATTACCTTTATTGTATGGTTAAAGTAACAGTCTTGCAAGTCTGAAAGCCCTACTCCTTTCTTTTAGTTCTACTTTCCAGAAAACTAGGAACTAGAAAACTTCTGAGATGCTTCTCTTGCCATTTTTCCTTTTGTGGGCTGAGATACATTTTGCATGACAATTGGCTAGTCTGTGGCTCTTCCTCTTGTCTCCCAGGGTCATTCTCACATACCATTACATAGAGATAGAGCAATAGGCACAGGTTGGATATGCCTTGTATCCTACGCAGGAATGCCTGTGGTAAGGTGGAAGCTAATACTTGCCAACATTTTTTTCTCTGTCTCCTCAGGCCGTATTCTGCACAGCCACTCCTACCGCTGTCCAGAGCCCTTTGCCAATCAATCTGTAGTGCTGGTAGGCGCTGGTCCATCAGGAGTTGACCTGGCCTTGCAACTCTCTGATGTAGATGCTCAAGTAGTGCTCAGCCATAAAAGGCAACATGTGTGCGGGCTGCCCAAGGATGTGATACAGGTACCCCCACTTTTGAAGGTGGAGCAAAAGACAGTGGTATTCACTGACCGCTCCAAGATGCCAGCTGATGTCTTGATTCTCTGTACAGGCTACAAGTACAACTTCCCCTTCTTGGACTTGGCCCAATTGGGCTTACAAGAGACAGATTATGGAATGGGCCCCCTGTACCAGCATTTACTGCCCCCGCAGCACCCTTCGCTCTTCTTGATTGGCCTTTGTCAGCTGATCTGTCCTTTCCCACACTTCCACTGCCAGGTGCTATTTGCATTGGCTGTGCTAAGTGGGCGCTGTTCCCTCCCTTCTGTGGCTGACATGGAGGCTGAAGTCCAAAGACAGCTGGGACAACATTTGAAGAATGGAGGGTTGGCCCGGTACTTCCTGAAGCTGAAAGAAAAACAGTGGAGCTATATGGAGGACCTAGCTCACCTTGCTGGATTCCCACCTGTGCCACCTACTGTCCAACAAATTTATGAAGATACCCATGCCAGCCGTCTCTGCAATGTGAGCACCTATCGTAGCAGAAACTATCGGCTATTGGGCCCCAGTGCTTGGGAGTTGGTGCAGGATTGTGGTGAGAATTGCATAAAGAATGGAAATCCAAAATGAGGACCTTTAGAATGCTCCACCTGGCATTCTTCTCTCTTTGTGTGGTTTTCCTTCTAAGGCCCAACTGCAGTCGGGGAAATCAGGCCAAGAACTGCCAGGTGAGACAGAAAAAGAACCAAATCCCCTCATGGCATCATTGAAATACAAGAAAGAGCTTTTGTAGGGAAACTTGAAGCAGATCATAAAGAGGGAGAAATAATGCATATTCCATCTGAAAGAAAAAGGGGGGCTAGATTCACACAACATACTTAACCCTAAACCAGGTTTTATTAAAAAAAAAAAAAAAACAGTTGGCCTGTCTATGTGGCTCTCTATGGCCAAGCTAACAAATTGACAAAGCTAAGTGACAATCTAGTTTAGGGGCATCCACTCAGGAGCATATTTAAAAAGTCAGGAGGAAAACTGCAATTGTGGCTAGTTTGATTGGCTTTGCCCAATTACCCAATCCCAGTTTTGATTAGTACGGTATGGTGTAACCTCTAACCAGAGAGTGCCCAGCTTAAGCTCTCTGGTGTGCTTTGTGATTGGGTGAAGCTAAAAAGCCAGGTCTTTAAATAACAGCTCTTTTTGACTGTGCATCACACTTTATAATTTACACTGCTTATCACAGTCCAGAAAATTTTTGCCCTTTGGTGCCATATAAATGGAAATAAAGAAAACCTGATTCCAATGAGAATGAGAAAAAGAAATTCAGTTAGCTCCAGTCCATAGGCTAAGTTTCCTTGGGTTCAATGGAAATTTATAGCAGTGCTTTAATTATGGGAGCTACAAAATTCTTCAGGTGATGTCCAGTTGAGGGGACAGAGAATAAATCAAAATTGTAATCTGACTGAAATGAATGCATTTCATATATTAACCCATTCCTGTTTCAAAAGGCCTTAGAGCAATTACAGAATACTTTTAATGAAAAAGAGAAAAAATGTATCTGGGCTAGGTTCACACAAGTTCCTGGTTACTAAACTGACTCTTTTCTGTATTTGCACCAAACAATACATTAACCTATAAACTAACCACATGGGCTGGCTTTCCATACCATGGTAAGCCATGGAAAACTAATGGTTTCACAATAGCCAAAGTTAGCAATGTTGTGCAAATGAAGCTCCAAGAGCTTGGCTTTTGCTTTCATGCATGCACAATGTTGTTTATCCTGTATGAAGAAAAGAGAAAGAACATCAGTGGCAATATTAAAAGAAATCAAATGTCTTTTGTATTGTGCTTGAGCCTTGGTCCCCAGATAGTTTTTTGAATAAAAATATGGAATTGCTTTTCTACTGTCATCTGCTGGGATGGTTTTCCCATTTCCAGTCCATAATGTATAGCGCTAGAATTCCCTGGTGATCTTCCACCTGTGTATTAACAAGGCCTGGCCCTGTTTCACTTCCCACTTCGGATGAGACCAACCAGGTGCTGCCACCATTTTCTGAATACTTAACACAGTGTTTCTCAACCTTAGCAGCTTTAAGATGCACGAACATCAACCCCCAGAACTCTTTTGCTGGCTGGAGAATTTTGGGAATTGAAGTCCTCACATCTTAAATTTGCCAAAGTGGGAAACACTGACTTAAGCATATAGTCAGCACTATTGTGGCCATAACGAGAGTTACTTTTTCATTCCATGTCTGTATTTGTCTGTGTACATGCACATGAATGCAAAATGACAGATAAAAAGTAAATTGTCCTTCATGTCTGATGACTTACCTAAAAATATCCATGCACAACAATGGGTTTCACGATAATGCCAGAAAGCAGTCTATAGATGTCATCTGGCTTCTAGTGAATAGGGGTTTACAAACTGTACCCATTACAGCAGCCACTTTTGCCAATGGAGAAACTTCTCAACACAACTGCGGTGTGTGTGTCCTCTATGCTCTCAGAACTTTACCCTTAGCCCAAGGGTCTCCAACCCCCGGTTTGTGGACCAGCACTGAGCTGCGACATGCCAGCAATCAGGCAGTGCAGACAAAGCGCCATTTGCAAGATGCAGGCAGTACACGAAACTACACCCCCTCCAGTCCACAGAATAACCTCTATCCGCAGAACCAGTTCCTGGTGCTCAAAAGCTTGAAGGCTGCTGTCTTAGCCCAAAAATTGTGTATCCTTGATTTAAAAACTGCAGCCTTTCTCTACTTCCCTAATACATTTTTTACATTTTTGTGTGCCCTTGACCTTCTAAATTTCACATTCAGGTGCATAGCTCAAGTGTATGATAAAAAAAGAATCCATATATACTTAAGGTTTTTATTATTCCAATGACTTCAGTCAAAACATGTACTGGTACTGAATTACATTTATAATGCTTTAAACTGAAATGAGCCAGTCTTTCTGGTAATTTCATATTCCATATTTGCAAGCATTGTCAGTCTTCCATGCATTAGAGGTAGACAGTTTATCCTCTATAACAGGGGTCCCTAACCCCGGGTCCATGAACCAGTACCAGGCTGCAGCATGCAGCAACTGGTCCGCACAAACAAGCAAAGCCCCATCCTTGAGATGCAAGCAGCACACAAAACCATGCCCCCTCCGGTCTGCAGAAAAATCTCTCTCCACAGAACCGGTTCCTGGTGCTCAAAAGGTTGGGGACCTCTGCTCTATAAACATTCAGTTTTGGGGAAAATATTATTAGAGCCAGATGACACTTTGGCAATCTCTGCAAGAGATGCTGAGCTATGATTCAGCAGGATAGTGGAAACAAATCAGGTATCTAAAACAAGAACATCTGTGGGCATCTCAGATGCTGGCTAGAAAATTGAGCTATATCTTTTACATCCCCCCCTCTCTGATAAATATGCTCTAGAGCACGGGTGTCAAATTGAATTGTGTCACATGACATATCGCAAAGTTTTTTGCCTTTGTGGAGCCAAGGTGGGTGTGGCCTGCACGTGACGCATGTGGCCTTCATGTGACGCATCTGGCCATCGGGCCACCATTTTGGCACCCCTGCTCTAGAGAATTGCATTAAGAGCTAGAGCTTCCTTGAATAGGAATGCTCATCATGTCAACAATCATCTGTCATCTAGCACCCAGCTTGAGAAAAGCATAGCAAGATCTCCAATTAAGCCATGAAAAAGTAGTGCTGGGTTTAATAAACTGTGTTGGAGCCTAAGAGGGAACTGCACTGTCATATTTGGATCTGGCATGGGCATTCACTTGTGTTTTGTTGGCTGCTCCTTAAAGGACTCACGCCTTTTCCAAAACTTGAACGAAAGAAAACGCTAATTTGAGTTAAGGCAAAATGGGATCACATTGTTTCAGGGGTCCTCAACTCCCGGGCTGCAGCCCAGTACCCGGCCGAAGCCCATTCAGACCTGGCTGCGGAAGCTGAGGACAAGTCCATGTGTGTGTGCAGTCTACTTGCACGAGCAATGGGTAAGCACACATACGTGCAAAGCTCTATTTGTGCGAGTGATGTGTGCTCACCACTTGCGCAAATAGAGCTGCACGTGCACATGCTTTCCTGCTACTTGTGCGGAACCATCCCCTCTCCCTCTCCCAGTCTGCAAAGCTGGAAAGGTTGGGGGCCACTGCACTGCGTTACAGATAATCCTCAACTTGCAACCATTCCTTTAGCGACTGTTCAAAGTTACAACAGCACTGAAAAAAGTGACTTATGATCAGTCCTCACACTTACAACCAATGCAGAATCCCCATGGTCACATGATCAAAATTCAGGCACTTGGCAACTGGCATGTGTTTACAAAGGTTGCAGTGGGGTCATATCACCATTTGTGACTTTTCAAGCCAGCTTCTGACAAAGTCAATCCAGGAAGCTGGATTCACTTAATGACTGCCTGATTCTCTTAACTGCAGTGATTAACTTAACAGCCATGGCAAAGAAGATTCATAAAATTGGGTGTGACTCACTAACAACTGTGAGGCAATGGAAATTCAGGTCATAATTATGGTTGTTAAGGATTGCCTCTACCACCATCTTAATGCTTCTCTAACTCAAATACATCTTTTCCTGAGCCCTTTCTGGGGTCCCCAATCCCTGGTTGGTGGACCAGTACCAGGCTGCGGCATCCAGCAACTGGTCCGCACAAACAAGCAAAGCCCCATCTGCGGGATGCAGGCAGCACACAAAACCACGCCCCCTCTGGTTCACGGAAAAACCTCTCACCACGTAACCGGTCCCTGGTGCCCAAAAGGTTGGGAACCTCTATGCTAGGGTGCAAGCCTTGGAAAAGGCAGAGCTTGTTTAAGAATCAGCCAGGGGAAAGAGGTTGCCTGTGAAGATTCAGTACACTATTTTGCTTCAAATCTGAACACCATGTCCTTCTAAGGACAAACAATTACTTGAAGTGGCTTCATTCAAGTCTGAAACAGGGATCCTTATCTACTTATGCCATAGTCAAGTGTTTGAGAAGCTTTTGCCAGGTTTGTTCATTCATTTCATTTAAACTTATTGACTGCCCAACTCCAATGGACTTCCCAGAGCGAACTGGAGACTTTATAATTTCCCAAGGAAATAGCGAACTTCACCTGTCTGTTGAATCTGTATGCTGTCCTGGAATTCTTATCTGAGAGAGGCAGTTATACCATATTACTGTAAAAGGGCAAATGCTGGGGTGGAAAAGCTGTCCTGTTGCAGTGGCCTCTTCCTTGTTCAAGATGCAGAGGGAGATTGTGTTTCCAAGGGCTGGCCAGACAGCATTATTTCTTCTGCGTAGTCACAATGTGAAGCCCGGCTCCTTAGAAAAGGTTCTAGGGGTACTTGTTGTTGGAAGGTCTCAGTGGTAAAATAATAGGCCAGAGGATCTAGGGCAGCATTCACACAAGATAAGAGCAGGACATATCTGTACACCTGTTTGGTTGTTTCATTCAACCCTCGTACAAGAAAGCAAAGTACTGTCAAATGGTAGGGCAAGAAGCAACCCAGAAAGATGACCACATTCGTCACTACCATTAACCTGATCTTGGATATATTGATCAGTTCCATCTCCACACTTACACTCCGGTGGAAAACATGCAGCAAATTAAAAGAGGAAGTTACAGTGACAACCAATGTAATGGCATAGCATAGCACCATAGTACTGGAAACACCAGCATTTGTGATATAGTGAGGATTTTCATCAAAGCAGAGAGTGCTGCTGTGATTTGTAGCATTCTTGGCAGCCAAGTATGTGGGAATGGCTCCCCCAATACTCAAGGTCCATATACCCACACAGATGTACTTGGCTTGTCGACGTATGGCTTGTGCCCAGGAGCTGAGTGGAAAGCGCACAGCCATCCAGCGGTCTGAGCTGATGCAAGTCAGAAGGAAGATGCTGCCATACATATTAACCAAGAGTAGCAGGCCTGCCACTTCACATGTGGTTTGAGATAGCTTAGGTTGCCAGCCATAGTAGTATATCCTCAGAGGCATTGATGCCAACAGCAGAAGATCGCAGACTGCTAGATTCTTCATGTAGATGGTGGTGACGGAGCGAACAACATCTCCGAAGATAAAAATGTACAGAGCTGTAGAGTTCAGCAGGAGGCCTATCGTAAAGATTAGTGAGTAGCTACTGGCAAAGACCAGATCGTGTACCCTGGTACAGTTGCTGCAGTTGCTGGAATTCATCTTTAAGTGTCTAGCAGCAGATCCACACTTTGCAGTCTTTTAAAAAAAAATCATATATCCTGGCTAGCATGAAACAGGTGATGCCTTCCCCCTAGTTTAAAAAAAAAGATATTTGCAATGTATATTATATTTGTGAGACTACAATTGCCAAGGTCAGATACTTATTTTTCATATATTGTCTGCGTGAGATACTTTATAAAGTTCCACAAAATGTATCATTATCAAACCCCTTACTTAGGGTTTCACTCTAAAGTTCTATACAACCAAATCTTTCCTGAGTTATAAAAATAACAACAACAACAACAACAACAACAACAACTGGAGCACCACTTGAACACCATTGGCATTGACAAATTCGCTATTAGTCAATTGCAAAAGGTGGCCTTACTAGGAACTGCTTCCATCCTGTGACGATATCTGTAATACCATCAAACATCCACATCTGCCTATCCCAGGTCCTGGGTAAGGACTCGATAGATAGACAAAATGCCAAATCCAGTCTGAACATCTGGCTGACTGTGCGATGATCAATAATAATAATAATAATAATGATGATGATGATGATGTTGGAAGGGACCTTGGAGGTCATCTAGTCCTACCTTCTGCTCAGGCACGAAACACTATACCATTTCAGACAAATGGCTGTCCAGTCTCTTCTTAAAAACTTCCAGTGTTGGAGCATTCACAGCTTCTGGAGGCAGGTTGTTCTACTAGTTAATTGTTCTAACTGTCAGGAAGTTTCTCCTTAGTTCTAGGTTGCTTCTCTCCTTGGTTAGTTTCCATCCGTTGCTTCTTGTCCTGGCTTCAGGACATTAGTTTTCCTTCTCATTCTGTCTGCTTAAATCCAATCTATTTCAAACTAAGCTCCCTGTAGCCTTATTCATGCAACAATATTGGGGCTAAGGACAATCTATTTTGTGCAACTTGTGAGAAATTTACCCCAAGTTTCAAGGTGGAACTTTTCTTCCAAAATAATGGTTTTTCTTAGTCATCTCCCACTGCACTCTTTTAGACTTTACTTCTGAAACCTGAACAGTCTTTGGACTACTTAAAACAAACCCTCTAAACTTCACCAATCAGACAGGAAGCTGTGGCATTGCAAATGGAAATTTAGCTAACTGCTATTAAGTTTTTAAGGGCAAAGTTCAGCTAATTCATAGATCAAATCTTTGTGTTGCAGAATGATGCAGAGGAAAAAGTAAGCCAGGGGTGGTATTTAACATAGCAAAAAAGGAAGGAAAAAAAGCTAATAGTTAAAGAAATAAAGCCCTATTAGGAAGCAGTCCAACAGTGATCAACAAATATTCATATAGTCTGACAAAGAATCAGTCGAGGTTTATGGTCCCTGATGTCAATGCTGCTAACACTGGATGTTCTTGCTTTGATGGAGATGCAACCATTTTCCTTCTTATGTTTTACTCTTAGAATTAGAGATAGAATTAGAGCAGTAGTTCTCAACCTTTCTAATGCCGCAACCCCATAATACAGTTCCCCATGTTGTGGTGACCCCCAACCACTTATACATCACCGGGTGCCAGAGGCGTGGCTAAAGAAAAGGGGAAAAAATGGCGGACAGCCTTGTTTGGCGACCCCCGTGAAATGGTCGTTCGACCCCAAATGGGGTCCCGACCTACAGGTTGAGAACCACTGAATTAGAGGATACTGGGGGGGGGGGGAGGAATGTGCATGGGAGTTTAGCTAGACATAACAATATTGTAACTAGTGTGAGAACCAAGGTTTTTTGAAATAAGAGACGATAAGAAATGGCGGATTGAAGAACTGGAGGGAAAGCCTGCAATTCAAACTAATTGGAGAATGTGATTTATGACTGTTAATTAGAGGAGGGAATTGTGCTTTGATACTATGTGCTGAAGGGAGGAGAATTCAGATTTTGGCTTTGACTATGTACGTGCAGATGCTATGCTACTCAAATAAAGGTCAACAATGCCTCGAAGTTCTTTGAAGAGTTTCATCTGTCAGAACCATGACACCTGATCTATAAAGCAGGGAAAAGCCAAGGGAATGTCTGGTTCAGTTTTATCCAATGAAAGCAGCAAAGCGTGTACTGGGGCTGAGATCTTGCAAAGGAGCTAGACACCCACACTTTATAGCCAGAATTTTTCAGTGGGTAGCTAGATCAGAGATATCTCAATTTTTTAGCTGATCTAGAATATGCCAAGAAGTTTCTTGCAGAGATGCAACAGAAGTGGGTAATGGGGTTTAACTGCCACAGCCCCATGACGTTGGAGAGGTAACAGATGCCCATCGGTCCATAATATTTGCTGAATAAATTAAAAAGATTTCATCTATCTTGAGTTTTCTCCCTGACCTTCAGTTAATAATTTACAGTATAAAATAGGAACTCTATTCCCATCCTTCAGACTTTTAAAATCCAAGAGTTCAAGCAGCTTTTCAAAACAGCCATATGTTTTGGGTAAAAGAAGTGTTTTTTCTAGATAGATTCAGCTAGAAACTGGTTGGAAGATTGGTTTGATTTATAAGCACTAAGTTACCACTCCAGGTGCTATACAGAATAGAATAGAATAGAATAGAATAGAATAGAATAGAATAGAATAGAATAGAATAGAATAGAATAGGAAGGGACCTTGGAGGTCTTCTAGTCCAGCCTCATGCTCAAGCAGGAGAACCTACCATCTCAGACAAGTGACTGTCTAGCCTCTTCTTAAAAATCTCCAGCGATGGAGCACCCACGATTTCTGGAGTCAAGCTGTTCCACTGGTTAATTGTCCTCACTGTCAGGAAGTTTCTCCTTAATTCCAGGTTGCTTCTCTCTTTGATCAGTTTCCAACCATTGTTTCTTGTACTGCCCTCTGGTGCTTTGGAGAATAGTTTGATGCCCTCTTCTTTGTGGCAGCCCCTCAAATATTGGAACACTGCTATCATGTCTCCCCTATTTCTTCTTTTCTTTAGCCAAACCCATTCTTCGTATGTTTTGGTCTCCAGGCCTTTGATCATCTTAGTTGCTCTTCTCTGAATTTTTTCCAAACTCTCAACATCTTTTTTGTGATATGGTGACCAAAATTGGCTGCAGTATTCCAGGTGTGGTCTTACTAGGGTTTTATAAAGCAGTATTAATACTTCACGTGTTCTTGATTCTATGCCTCTGTTTATACAACCCAGAATTGTATTAGCTTTTTTGGCTGCTGCTGCACATTGCTAGCTCATAGTCAAGTGATCGTCCCCTACTATAGATTCTACTGCTTGAGCAGGGGGCTGGACTAGACAACCTCCAAGGTACCTTCCAGTTCTGTTCTATTCTATTCTATTCTATTCTATTCTATTCTATTCTATTCTATTCTATTCTATTCTATTCTATTCTATTCTATTCTATTGACTAATCGGTATACATCATCTCTGTAAAAAGATGGCTCATCCTTAGGATATGCCATCCTACAAGTTTGCAGGCTTTCTGAAACAGAATTATGTTTAGTCCCTAAACTGAGCTTCAGGTCATAATATCAAAACAGATATCAAAGAAAATGAGGTATCAGATGTATAATTTAAAAAAAAAAATGAAGTTCCATAGATTTCTGAATCCTTATTTGCAAACTTGATATACACCAGAGAGAACACAAATTTACAAACTTTGGAGCCAATGACTATACTGTATACCGTGTTTTCATGAAATATTTGCAAAGTCATAAGTCATTTTTTTCAATGCCGTTGTAACTTCAAACAGTCACTAAATGAACTGTTGCAAGTCAAGGACTATCTGTATATCATTACATCATTTGGGTTATGATATTAAAACACATATCATCATTCTGTTTTGCTCTTGCAAGCATTGTGGCTTGTAACAGATGCCCATGTTCTGTTTTTTGGTTGCATTTAGGCACACTGTCCAAAATATGCCAAAATTAATAGCCATTCTTGCTATGATTGAAATACTGCATTTGCCACAGATATAACTGAGAAAAAGGAAGCATAAATTAGATCTTGTGAAGTTGATAAAAACATGCAGGGAAATTAAATAGATAAGATGTATATCAGATAGCATGAAAAAGTGTCACATCTAGTTTACAGAAAGTCCTCCATTTACAGTACATCTGCAATGGGAACCAGACATTTAGTTGATAAACAGGGTGGTTCTTAAGTAACTCACACCTGATGTTATGACCTTTTTTGCCATGGCCATTAAGCTATTCACTGCAGTTGTTAAGTGAATCACACAGTCATTAAGCAAGTCCAACTTCCCCCATTGAGTTTGCTTGCTGGAAGTTGGGAAAGTCATAAATGGTGATTACATGACCCCAGGACATTCCAACCGCTAGTTAACAGTGCCCAAATTTTGATGACATGACTGTGGGGATGCTATGACAGTCTTAAGTGTGAGGAAATGATTGAACTGTTCCGGGCAAGCCATAAAGACAGAAACAACAAATTCTGCCTAAATCCAGTCAGCCCGTAGCTCTCTGCCTGCAGCTACCAACATGCTGTGGTTGTATCTTATAGCAACGCAATTATTATGATTTGTTGCACACTCAGCCAGATGTTCAGGCTGAATTTGGCATTTTTATCCACCTATTATTATTGGTAATCATGATTAAAGTCACAATCTAAGACTGTTGGAAGTATAATAATTCAAATCCTAACCAATGTCCTAACCTATTAAGGTAGCATCTGAGAATTCAGGCAGTTCCTAGCAGAGTCTCTTTTTTTGTAGCATTATGGTATTCAGGTACAATATGTTCAAAATTTCTAAATATCAAGGGAGTCCTTTAGGTATTGCTCTGAGGAGTCCAGTCATAATTGGTATAACAGATTTCTTTTCCGTAAAGATTCAACTTTGATCTGCAAGTCTGGGTATTTTGTATTTTTTTCCAAATTACATTTTCCCCTCAGTCCTAGCATCATATGGTATAAGTAACATCAATGAACTATACTTTATTTTCAATAACTTATATCAGGCATGTTATGAACAAGATGCCTGTCTGTCTGGATCTTAAAATCCATAAGAGCTCATCCATTTTTCAAAAACTTCTCAGCTTGATGGTCCCAGTGGTTCTTGCTATATTCAAATCCAAACCTCTAGCAAAATTTCTAATGTATAATTATGGCAACGTGATCATGATGCTTCTTGTACTCAGTTTGTATAATTTTGTTGCAGGCACTGATTAGATGGTTAGTTGTTTTACCCTTTCCACTACAAAGGCTGTTGTTTCTTATATGCTTAATGTTCATTTTCATGGGATTAGTCAATTAGTTCTTGAGCTGCTAAAACAACCCTTCAGTTTCTTTCTTTTATACTGATATTAACCAACCTCATGTGTGCTTTTTATTGACTTTTCAATGTATCTATCATCCATTGGCTTGTTCTTTCACTTAACAAATTGGTTTTTCAATTGTTTCTTTTCTATATTCAACTTTGATTAAACTGGTTCTGTACTTGGCAATGACTGAAGTACAGAAGCGACTGAGGCAAGCCATACAAATTCTGCCTAAATCCAATCAAAGTTCTACTCTTTTAAGAGGCTTGTAGTACTTCCAAGCCTGCACCCCTCTTTCTGTGATTTTTTTCTTCACAATTATACACTGTTAGAGCTAATACTGTCCTAAAAAAGGAGAAAAGCCTGACTTTATTTTTTCCTCTGTCATGCATAATTTTATATCATATCCCAACCTTCCCTTACCTTTAAATTAGAAGATTTATTTTTTCTTGGAATTAAAAATATAAGAATATTATAGTTACTGTACTGTTTTCTGTATTTTTCCCAGCTGTGCTAGATATTTTTCATAAGAGGTCATTACTTTATTTCTGGATTGTTTCGCCAACATGCCAGTTAACCATTATTAGTTACTCTAAGGTAGTTGTTGTTCCTCAAATACTTTAGTTTTCATGAAGAATCACTGGAAAATCCTTCTTCAACTTTCAGGGTTTCATGGATTAAGTCACTGATCTTTTCCCTATTCAGCTATATACTGGATTCAACTAATATTAGAATTTTAAGGTAGAGCAAGATATTATGACTTGAGCTAATTTTTTTTAACCCCAATAGTACCTATGTGTCAGAAATCTTCAGTTAGTTCACACACAATAAACAGTAGAATATAATTTCTGCAATGTAATTTACATAATAGCATGTAATATTAGCTATAGCTAATGCAATTACAACATAGTGACATAATAACATATAATATTAACAATAGTATGACTTCATACGATGAGTTGATTTGCATAACATGCTAAGACAGTGGTTGGATTTGAACATCAATGCTATATTACAAATTCCTCAATTCCATTTTAGCTTAGAGCATTGAAAAAAAGACAGCCAGTCATTTCTGAAATAGACTGTCAAAAAGGCCCAGTATAGGGTTACTGAGCAGTTCTGTAACCCTATTTTGGGAGCCATATTAGCTGGCTTAACCACTGGTTTATTTCTGGGGACAGAGCTAATTTCTGATGCCCTGACAAAATGCTCCCTCATATCTTTGCATAGAACCCCTCAAGGAAATGTCTATGGAGATTTTCAATCATCCACAGTGGTTGTCCCAGTTGAACTGAATAAATTTCTTGGATGAGAAGCAAAACGTTTTTAAGGAAAAAAACCAAGAAAGACCGCTTGCCTTTTGAAAAGCACCTTTGGGACACTCGAGGTAATCTGTCTGAAATTTGTTGTAGATAAACTACACCATTTGGACTTCTACTACTGAACATTTCATCTGACACTATTTCGACTTGAAAAAATTATGGTATTACACCTCTGATTATGAAGGAATGGGAAGAGGGAAAGAACCATTTAAGAATAACCATTACAATCCAAGGTATCTATGTCTACTTAACACAGAGTGACTATATAAGTCAGGGTGGGAAATTTCTCTATAGATCTTCAAGCAACCTCTCCTTCAGGTATTCCCTTAATCAGAACATCTACCTCCTCCTCTTTTTCCAAAAAACTTACTCACAGATATTCACATCCTGGAATATAAGAGCAAGGAGCTGCTTGAAGAGATCACCTGCTTGTATGTCTTCAGCACAATCATCTTCCTTCCTGCTGTTTAAAATTTAAAGCTGAAGAAAACCACACTCCACCTCCTATGATAGAAACCACATTCTCAGAAGTCATCTCAGTACTTGTGCCAATTGAGTTACATTTTTCAAAACGTTTTCTGTAAACTATTTACTGGTGGGGGAAGGTAAAAGATCTCCAGGCTGAAACTCCGCAAGCATCAAATTAGAACCATTCTGTTAATAGGAAAGGATTCCTTCCTTAAGAAGACCCTTAAGAGTTACACAAGCCTTTAGCAGAGTTACAAACCCTCATCCTAGATGGGAATCTATCTTCAAATATTCAATGGCTTAATTTGCACAACCTGGTCACTAAACCCAGTATTATGCTAAGTCCATTAAGTCTGGTGTGGGCATAGGGGGATGCCACAAAGTGTATGACCCAACTCTGTCTTTTTTGTACGTGTTACATCATTGTCAGGTGCAAAGTCGGACTATGCATTAAGTTGCAATTCAGAAAGATTTACTGCTTAAGCTTATACATAAGAATCTAGTCAACTATAGTTTACATCTGAATTGGTGCCAGGTAAAGGTCAATGGGATTCAAGAGAGGCTGGACTTGGATTGTTTGTGACAATGTAAGGGCTCTGTTGATGACACATTTAACTCTGACGTGGAGCTCTGCCTGCTCTTCTCCTGTTAGAATCATTATTTGTAAATACACAAGGGACAGAATTTGCATTGTGACTTTATGACGTATTTTAGTCATTTTGATAAAATTTCATCACCTATGCATCACATATTAACTCAGGTGAAAATTGATTATACCTAACATATTAGACAAATACAGCATGACACACGTAAATGTATTGGTTTTAAATAACTTTATTAGATTTTAAAATAAAGAAATAAAAACTAATGAGAGCCAATTAAAAAGGTGGGATATAAAATAAATAGATAAAGATAAAAGATAGACAAAAAAGAATGAAAACAAAAGCAAAAGTACAGAAATAAAAAGAAATACAAAGAATGACTTTTTTCTTGTACAACAGATATAAGTATAAATGTACATTAAACATTCTGAGTTTACAAGTTTACTCATTTTTCTACTATCTATTATTATTTCTATTTGTCAAAATCATATATTGTAATATTTTCTGTTTCACAGAAGGAGCTTACAGAATTAAATGTATTACAAGAATACAGCCATATAAATTTGCTTAAAAGAGGATATTCTGTGTTCACTTTCTACAGTATACTTTTTGCCAGCAATCAGTTCCAAAGAAATCAGTTTGAAACATCAATCTAGCTCATGGCTGGATAAAATGCAATGGTTTCTAAAAGTTTTTTGAGATAGGGGCCTAAACAGCCGGAAGTTAACTCAAGAAACTCAGAAAGATACTGATTTGCAGCCTCTAATAGGGCATACCATCTGCCTGAACAATAGTTGCAATAATCATATGAATTTCTTAAGTATTCTTATTAAGCTGTGAAAGTTTCAGCAACCTGTAAAAAACAATTATTTTCTTAAAATTTGTAAAAATATGTTTTCCCTCCTGTTATTGTTATTTAAACAACTGACACTTCCTTCTGCCTATACAGATTGAATGCAAGCAGAGTGTCCTTTCAGAATCAACATTTAAGCAATCTACTATTAAAGAGCAAACTAAAAGATCCAGTGATTGTAATAGTCAGGAAAAGCAAATTAATAATTCATAGAATATTCAGAAAGCAAAACAATTTCCTGTCAAACTTAAGATATAGGATTTATTATCTTATTCAAAGGGCATCCAAGACGGTGCCAAATGAATAAAGTCCTTGAAGTCATATTTCTCATAACCAAAAGCTACTAGACTTGGGCTGCAAAAATCCAAAGCTTGTTAAATGGCAACAAAAGTATGATGGCCTTACTGTAGCCTGTTCACCATCCATTTTAGAGAAAAACTCTCAGGAAAATTGTAAGCCATGCAATAAAATTTTTTAACACATTATGATCAAAAACTCAGTCTTAATTAATATACTTGCAAGCTGTTTTGGACCAACTGAAGTATCTGGACTATTCTGGACTAACAGCAGTGCAAGATATAAATATATGCAAATAGGATACATTTATCAGAACATGGACAATTGTGGCCAATCCATCTCAGTCCAGGTCACTAATTTATCAGCTGAAAAGGTTGCTATATAAAGAGTTGCAGAAGACATGAGGATCCTTAGCCAATTTGAAAGCAGGTTTACACCTCCGTGCTACAAAGCTGAGATACATTATATTCACAGCTCAGCTGTGGTGTGGCTGAAACTATTTCAAAGCTATGGTTCTGTTATCTGTCATCATTCTGCATCACCTTTTCTCCCAGGTTTTGGACTTTTGGTTATTTAAGGGTTGATTCTATAAGCTTGATTCTCGCTTTGAAACCTAGATATGAAGTGTCAGGCTGCTGGATTTCTTTTCCCCTCCATCCCCTCCCCCCCCCCCCCCTCTCTCTCTCTCTCTCTCTCTCTCTCTCTCTCTCTCTCTCTCTCTCTCTCTCTCTCTCGGTAAAACAAAAGGTTTTATTCCTAGACAACCTGCAGGGCTGGGTCTGTGGTTGTCAGCTCTTTGAGGCAGACCAGATCAAGAAGCAGACACGCACAAAGTAGTAATGCTACTTTATTGTTGTAGAATATATTAACGGGGAGAGCCTGTTTGGTGTAATGGTTAAGGCTAAGAAATCAGGAGACCAAGAAAGCTAGTCCTGCCTTAGGCATAAAGCCAATTAGGTTACCTTGGGCAACTTATAGGAAGCAATGGTAAACCACTTCTGAAAAATCTTGCCAAGAAAACAGCAAGACTTACTTGTCCAGAGTAAGACAAGAGAATTTTAAAAGCCTGCCCCTTTTAAAGGACCAATAGGTCAAGGCTGGGCTGTTCTGAATCTGTCTCACACTTTCTATTTTCTCAGGGCTAATAATTGTTCTGCCAACCCTTTCTCACGGACACAACTAAATTTCCCTATGGAGATTTTCACCTCTTCTCCTCAGCTCAGTTTCACAGGAAGTGAAGACAATTGTAAATCATCTTCAAATTGCATTTGGGAAGTGAAAATGGAGCTGAGATAGAAGAGCCTTTGATTTAATCAAGAGTAGAAATTTCCTTGACCAACATAACCAGAACTCACACAAGAGGGACAGTATTAAGGTCACATTAAGTGTTAGATCTGCTTTATACTGCTTTGGCAAGACCACATTTGGAATACTGTGTCCATTTTGGGCAACATGATATAAAAACAGTATTGTGACTCTGGAAAGAGTGCAGAGAGGAGCAACGAAGATGGTTGCTCTAAAACATATGATGAATGGTTGCAGGAAGAGGGTATGTACAGTCTAACGAAGAGAAGGACTGGAGTGACAGGATAGCAGTCTTCCAACATTTGAGGGGCTGTCACAGAGAAGAGGGGGACCACATACTCTCCAAAGCACCTGAGCGCAGGACAGGAAATTAAAGGATGGAAGTTTATCAAGGAGAGAACCAGCCTGGAACTAAGGAGAAATTTCCTGACTGAAAACAATTAATCAGTGCAACAACTTGCCTCCAGAAGTTGTGGGTGTGGGGATTTTTAAGAAGAGATGGGGCAGTCATTTGTCTGGAATGGTATAGAGCAGTGGTGGCAAACCTATGGCACACGTGCCAGAGGCGGCACTCAGAGCCCTCTCTGTGGGCACGCGTGCCGTCTCTCCAGAGATGGCAACCGTCCCTCTTCAACCAGCCACCTGCTAACTCGCCGAGGTCCCATGTGGCCGGATGCATCCCAGCATGGCTGGTTTCCCTCCCCCCTGTCCCATTCCTCCTGGCCTCGCATGCTCTCCTTTTCCTGGGCACAACCCACTGCATCGCCTCCTCAGCTGTCAGCTGGCCATCCAGCTCAGAGGCGGCTTCTCTGAACTGCTGGTGATGGGCTGCGGAGGCCCAGAGGTCGCCAGTTGAGGGGCCGGCAGGCTGTGGCTGTGGACGGACACTGTCAGCCCCCATGCGCTTGCTGGCCTCTGTGTGCAGGGACTGATGGTGTCAGGCAGCAGCCGCCCCAGCCCCTGCCTCACCTTGCCTTGCGACAATGGCATCCCCATCCCGCCCTGCCTCACCTTGCCTCACCTCACCCCGCAGGATGAGCCTCCTGCCACTGCCCCACCTGCCAGAGGCCCCCTGGATCTTCCCCAACTCTGCCTGGCCCCCAGAGGCATTCCTCCCCACGAGCAACATCGAGGTGACCATGCCCACCTTGGCCACACCCACCCACCCAGTCTGCCATGCCCACCACAGCCATGCCCACCCAGTGGGCCACTCCCACCTGGCACCCAGTGATAAATAAGTGGGTTTTGGGTCGCAGTTTGGGTACTTGGTCTCTAAAAGGTTCGCCATCACTGGTATAGAGTCTCCTGATCACCAATATGATCGCCAACGTCCGATAACGGATATGGTACAAGAAGAAGAAGCAGAAGCTTGAGCAGGAGGTTGAACTAGAAGAACTCCAAGGTCCTTTCCAACTCTGTTATTCTATATTCAGATCTGGACAATCCTTTTAGTCATCTCTTGCAGAGGCCAACATATAACACAAGCAATTATTAATGTCTTTTGCATATATAATTTTTTGATGATTTTTACCTGTAAATCATCCAAAATCACTTAGATAGTGCTTGAATTTGACAACTCAATAAAATAAAAAATAGTAGGCTACTGTGAATTCCACAAGCAAAGAAACATTTCTTCTTCCCCTCCATCACTTCCACAGAATTACTTCAGTCATATTTAATCAGATTCATGGGTTTTCCTCCACCTGTGATCCAGCCACTTTCCAGTTTCCTTCATCTTAGCTCCAACATCAAGGATTACAGCTTTTTCATGATGCATTTTGTGTTGACTGATGATTTTTTTCACTCTGTTGCCAGCTGCCTTGTCTGTTTTTTGCCCAGCTAGATGGTACGTATCTTTTAAAAATATAAAAACATAAATAACTTTTGTGTTTGTAATAATCTGTACCAGGCTTGGCAAGGTATAGCATTGGTTGCTGACTGACTTTTACATGAGCATGCTAAGTTTCTGTTTGAAGATTTTGCATACTCATCTTTTGCAGACTAGTCCTACCTAACTAACACTTGCTTAAAATGAGTTTTACCTTCAAATAAGGCTAAATGGCTAAATTGCTATTTTGGAGGATTAAATACATATAATTGGATCCTGCTATATTTTTCTTCAGAATGAAAGAACAATCTGTCATTTTTCTTATTCTGCTAAGTAAGACAAAGCTGGCAGAATTCGGTGTATTCAACATTGGTAACAAGACCTAATCATTGGATTAGGTCTTGTTACCAATGTTGGCTCAGAAACGCAATGTCTCAAATGCCTTTGCAAAAATTGATAGTTTTATTTTCTCTTATACTTATATTGAAGGAGCAAATGGCATTAGCTAAACTAAGAAGTTAACACACATGATTCAACTTTTTTAGTTGTCTTAGGGAAGCAGAAAAATGCCATAATATAACATTATACAGCACTCAGGAAAATCATACTTCCCCCCCCCCCTCCTCAAGTGAAATCCAAGGTAATCTTTTTGGCCTTCTGAAAGGGCCTGAAGACCTGGCTCTGTCAACTGGCATGGGGCCCCAATGGGAATGTGTCATTAGGGAAGTGATTAATGGACTAAGGCCCCACCGCCTTCCTGTGTACCTCTTGCTCCCTTCCTCCCCATCTTTGTCAATTTTAAATCAAAGGTAATGTTACTATTTATTGTTTTAATGTTTTCTATTGGTGTTTTATTGATTAATTGTATGCTGCCTAGAGTTACGATATGATCCCTTCTGTTGCCATATAAAATATAAAACAGATTGCCTCACCTTACACAGACCCTGCTGAAATTTCATGCCTTCTGGATGCAATTGAGGACTTGGAAGCCTGGCAGAGTCACACGACCCCTTTGTGCCAAGTCAGTCTGTGTGCCACAGTTCATGCGCCGCACCAAGTTCTTCTCAAAGAGCAATGGATGATAAGCACCCAGTGTGCAGGCTTCATCAGAGAAATCCTGGTAATAGTGGCACTGATTGGATTGCCGTTGAGATGGTAGGAATTCATACACATGGACAAGTTCACATAAGGACATCATTAGCACTGTTCCTAAAGATTGAGGAGAGAATGAGAGAGATAAAGAAATAAAGTGATTAGTACACAAGGAACTCCAGGACTGGGAAGTTCATTACCAAGATCAGATAAGAGTTCTGTCAGTTATGGTTGTTTCTTCATCTGGATTGAAATATTGATGAGAGATCCTGTGAGCCTATGCAAAATGACTCTTTCATTGGCTATAGAGGCATCTATAGCAGGGCTTTTTAACCTTTTCACCCATTGTACCACTTTTAGGATATGGCAACATCCGAGTACCACCAGTTGCCTAGCAAGGTGTCAAAAACCTGATGACCCCCCCCCCAAAAAAGGAAAAAAGTGATAAAGTACAGAGTCCTTGACTTACAACAGTTCGCTTAGTGACTGTTCGAAGTTACAATGGCACTGAAAAAAGTGCCCCCCCAAGCCACAGCCAAGCAAGAGATCTGCCTGCCCACCCAGCGGCACTCTTCCTCCGTCCAAGGTTTTCATTGTTGTGAGCATTTCTGTTGTGAATTGGCAGCGGGGCTGGGGTGGGGGTGTTTGGTTTTTATTCCCCTCATCTTCTGGGTGGTTGCAGCAGGTTTTGGTCACTTCACATGACCCTGGGACACTGTGAATGTCATAAATATGAATCAGTTGCCAAGCATCTGAATGTAAATCACAAGATCCTGGAGATGCTGCAACATTCCAGCTGATAGGTGCTTCTTCTGGGCTCAGCAGAAGCGCCAGGATTAGTGCTGCTTTCCAGCTGATTGGTGCTTCTTCAGGGCTCAGCAGAAGCGCCAGGATCGAACTCCAGCTGGAGCCTGGCGCTGATCCTGGTACTTCCACTGAGCCCTGACATCCCCGAAGAAATGCCAGGATCAGTTGAACCCTGACAGCCCTGCAGCTCCAGCCATCTTGCTCAGGCTTGTGTGGTGCTGCCATTGGTTCAGCTCATTCTCTTCCCCCGCTACCACTTTTCTAGGATGGTCGTGTACCATTTGCCAGGTGCCAAAGTACCACAGGTGGTACCCGTACCACTGGTTGAAAAGCCCTGATCTATAGAATCCAGTGCTTATTAAAATGATGAATGAAAGGTTATACCATGCAAACTCCAGTCCTTTTGTTATGTACAATATCATGACCAATATACAGTATAAAAGAGATGGTCTGGATGTGGCTTCGACATAATTCTGCTTTCACCATTTGAACCCTACTCCATGCTTACACCTCAGGAATTCTGAGAGTTGAAGTCCACGAGTCATAAAAGAGCCAAGGTTGCCTATCCCTGGCTTGGTCCATACAGTATGCTTAACTAGATCAAAAGTGGATTAGATTCAGTGACATGTGGAATCTAGCAATAGAGGTGAAATACTATATATTACTATATAGATGGCAGCAAAAATATAAAAGTTTTCTCTGTTTGCTGCCTTTAATGGTCATCTGGATTTTTGCAATTCAAATCTGGTAATCTTAGGCTGGCATATTATGTAAATATAGCAACAATGTTTTGTTAACCCAGATTTAGAGTGTTATGTGAAGTCAGAATAACAGAGTTGGAAGGAACCTTGGAGGTCTTCTTGTCCAACCCCCTGCTCCTGTAGGAGACCCTATACCAGCGGTTCTCAACCTGTGGGTCGGGACCCCATTTGGGGTTGAACAACCATTTCACAGGGGTCGCCAAACAACGCAGTCCGCCATTTTTTCCCCCTTTTCCTTAGCTGTGCTACTCCCTTTTATTCTATTGGCTTTGAAAGCCAATAGAATAGACTCTCTTGAACAGAGTCTAATTCTATTGGCTTTCAAAAGCCAATAGGAATTGTCCAGGCTGTCTCTGCTCTGCTGAGCCCGCCAAAAGTCCCATTCTGCAAACGGTGCTGCAAGTTGTCTGCAGCGAAGGCGAGCTGTCTGGAAGCTTCCACCCCTCCCTGCTGAGCAACTATTAAAAATGTAAGTAAAAGAGGGCCAGGGGTGGGAGGTGGGAGGCCGGTGGGCACAGGGAGGCCTGCGTGGGGCCCGGCGGGTACCTTACCTCCCTTGGGCTGGGCCAGCTGATGGCCCAGCCGATGGTCGCCCTGCGCCATCGCTGCCCCTTGCTGGCTATGCCTCGGCCGGCGCAGGGGGCAGCACCACGCATGCGCGGCACTCCCAGGCAGGGAAAGTCCTCGACTTATGACCAGTTGGGTAGTCCTCGACTTATGACCGGTTGGGTAGTCCTCGACTTACGACCGGTTGGGGATCGTGGCATTAAAAAGGTTGAGAACCACTGCCCCATACCAATCCAGACAAGTGGCTGTCCAGTTTCTTCTTAAAAGCCTCTAGTGATAAAACACCCACACCTTCTGAAGGCAAGTCATTCCACTGGTTAATTGTTCTTACTGTTAGGAAATTTCTCCTTAGTTCTTGGCTGCTTCTCTCCTTCTTTCAATCCATTGTTTCTTGTCTGCTGGTGCTTTGGAAAATAGGTTGACCCCTCCCCTTCTTTGTGGCAGCCTCTCAAATATTGAACCACTGCTATCACGTCACCCCTAGTTCTTCTTTTCACTACACTAGACATACCCAATTCAGCTATTGTCACTAAATAATTTCAGGTTTACCCTCAACTTTCCCCCCACCTGTTATAATTAGCAGAAAGAGCTTCTTGGGATTAAGGAAGGGATGCCTTCCAGAGACTTTTGAGCCACACAGTCTCAGTCTAGGACAGTGGTTCTCAACCTGTGGGTCGGACCCCATTTGGGGTCGAACAACCATTTCACGGGGGTCGCCAAACAATGCAGCCTGCCATTTTTTCCCCCTTTTCCTTAGCTGTGCTACTCCCTTTTATTCTATTGGTTTTTGAAAGCCAATAGAATAGACTCTCTTGAATAGAGTCTAATTCTATTGGCTTTCAAAAGCCAATAGGAATTGTCCAGGCTGTCTCTGCCCTGCTGAGCCCGCCAAAAGTCCCATTCTGCAAACGGTGCTGCACCAGTTGAGTAGTCCTCGACTTACGACCGGTTATGGGTCACGGCATTAAAAAGGTTGAGAACCACTGGTCTAGGAAGTCAACAGGACAAGCCTCTTGGCACTTACAGAATCTGGTTTTTGGTTCAGAAAGTTTGATCAAAATGAAGTATGGGACAAGGAATGCAAAACAGTAACTTTAAGGCCACAAGTATAAAGAGAGGGACTACTTTGAAACAGCAAGTGTAGAAAGCAGTTGCAAGCAAATACAAAGGGTATAATAGTTGAGGCTACAGAGAAAGTATTAGGCTGAATAACATTCATTCTTACTTACCCAGCAGGCCTGAAGATGGAGGGTTGCGTTGCACCAGCTCATCTGCCCCTTCCTGCACCAGCTCCCAGAGCTCCCACTGTAGCCGAGGATGCAATAGATGGAACAGCTGCCAAGGTCTTTTGGTTCTCAAGGTACGGAAGGGTTCAAAGAGGGGATAATCAGGAGACTTGTACCACTGGGAATGAAGAAGACAAATCCCTCAGGATAGAACATCCCTGCCTAGCCAACCCCAAAGACCAAAGTTATATTTCATCTCCAGGTTTCCCCAAATTCAATAGAGAGGTTCAGCAGCTCGTAACAATATGATGGCTGAAATAGTACTTCACTCTTAACCTAGTTGCTGAATTAACTGAATTTCTTGGTGGGTTTATATAGTTATTCCTCCATTTACATGAGCCGAGGTGGCGCAGCAGTTAGGGTGCAGTACTGCAGGCCATTTTAGCTGACTGTGTTCAGCAGGTCAGCGGTTCAAATCTCACTAGCTCAAGGTTGACTCAGTCTTCCATCCTTCCGGGGTAGGTAAAATGAGGCCCCAGATTGTTGGGGGCAATGTAAATATATATATATATATATATATATATATATATATATATATATATATATATATATATATATATATATACATTGCTTACTGGTGTACACCGCTTAGAGAGTGCTTGCACTTAAGGCGGTATATAAGTCTCATAAATAAATAAATAAATAATACTACCACAATTGAGCTCAACATTTCCACTGCTAAGCAAGACAATATTTAAGTGAATTTTGACCCCTTTTACGACAGTTTTTAAGTGAATCACTGCAGCTGTTAAGTTAGTAACATGGTTGTTAAGTGAATCTGGCTTCCCCATTGACTTTGCTGTCAGAAAGTCACAAAAGGTGATTGCATGCCCCCAGGACACTGTAACCGTCATAAATATGAGTCAGTTGCCAAGCATCCAAATGCTGATCATGTGACCATGGGGATGCTGCAATGGTCATATGTGTGAAAAACCTTCATAAGTCACTTTTTTCACTAAATCACTAAGTGAATAGTTATAAGTCGAGGACTACCTGGGCTGAAATATAGACCAACCAAATGGCCTGAGTTCACAAACATCATAAAACAAAACAATCCTCCTACAAAATTTAGCATGTTTTTCAACAATGAAAGTTTTCAAGTTCTTTTCTGAAAGTGGAGAGAGTGAATTTGTAGAGGACTTTTGAGGGCATCTCAGATGGATAAAGGAATGGAAAAGGCTTTCTCTGCAGGAACACCCCTTTTCATTCTAATTGAACCCTGTTTTGTTTACTTTTAGAAAGAGTTGACATACCTCTTTAATTTAGCTTTTTTAATATCATTTTGATAGTTTTAACATTGAGATTTTTGAGATCTTCAGTTGAATTATGTCTGTATGACACACTGAGTTAAAAAAAAATAATGAAGGCCACTATTATATCCTCCATCTTGCAGGGTTCCTTAATCAACCTTTATTGCTCTCTGGGTCATTTGACTCACAGCAATAATTTGAGTTTCCAGAAACTGGGATTTATATTCCAGGTTTGTTAATGGTTACAAATGTGGTTTCTAGAAAATAAAAAAGGCAGTTTTGATCTGCTAAGCCACAAAGCTTAGTATATGATGGATACGGAGGTCAAATGGCAGTACTTGTGTTTATTAACTGAATTTTTTAGCCTACTATGTCATTTAAATACAATTTTCTGTCTCTGAAATAGAATATTATCATTGGTACATCCTATAAGTCATCTCTCTCTCTCTCTCTCTCTCTCCCTCCCTCCCTCCCTCCCTCCCTCCCCCTCTCTTTCTCTGTATTGCAATTTGCAAATGAAATATGTCCTCTACCAGCCTACATGGAGCTGAACTCCAGCACTTCAGCAAAAAGGAAAAACAGCACTGCAACCTATTGTGATAGACAGTGCCCCTCAAATTCCTTTGCTAATTTTGCACTAGTAGTCTTTATTCTACAGTTATTGGGGCTTATGGTTTTCTTTCCAGTGGTCAGTTGAACCCTAAATATTCACATGATAATTGGGAGTCTTAAATATCCATATTTTAAAAGGTCCTGCAATATAGATAGCCTTTTGGAAACAAGAGGGGCCCTAAATTCTACCCTCAAGGATTCCCAGAAGTGGGGGGGGGGAGGGATGCTGCTGCAGTTGAATAAGATCCTAGTCACTAGTGCTTCTAAAAGTGGGCAAGCACATTCATTCATTAGATTTATATCCCGTTTTTTATTTAGAATCTCAAGGCAAAATTCATAGCTCTCTTTTGTCCAATTTTTTACTATAGTGACTATAATGTAAGGCTGATTGGGCCATTTATTCCCACTCAGATCAAAGTCATCTAGTGAACTTTTATACCTAAGTGTGGACTGGAATTTGGATGTCCAACTCCAACAAAAAGGGTCCATTTATCCCTTATATGGTTTACCATACATGATCTTTTTTTTAATTTTCCAAGTTGGAGTCTGTAACTCCATTTTCTAACTGTGAGGTCACTAATTATGCTTTTGAAAAAAAAGAAGCATTCACATTCATGAAACGTAAAGTATTTTATGCACCTGCTAAGTTAGAGAATGCATATGTTAAATTAATATACTTGAATTAGATCATGTTTGTTATTTATTTATTTATTTATTTATTCAATCAATCAGTTTCTATAGCTGTCCAATTCAACCAAGTGACTTTGGTTTTGTCTTTTTGTGAATCTACAGCTGAAGGTCGGTTGCTGAAGGTTGGTTGTAATAAGACATGATGCCTGAGAATAAAACATAATGCTTTGCAAATGTCCAATACTGAGCAGAATGCACAACAAAGACTTATGATGTTTCCTTGGTTGCTTAATGTTTTTATGGATTAACATGTACAATGGTACCTTGGTACTTATAATAATAATAATTATAATAATGTTAAAATTGGAAGGGACCTTGGAGGTCATCTAGTCCAACCCCCCTGCTCAGGCAGGAAACCCTATACCATTTTGGACAAATGGCTGTCCAGTTTCTTCTTAAAAACTTCCAGTGTTGGAGCATTCACCGCTTCTGGAGGCAGGTTCCACTGGTTAATTGTTCTAACTGTCAGGAAGTTTCTCCTTAGTTCTAGGTTGCTTCTCTCTTTGGTAAGTTTCCACCCGTTCTTGTCCTGCCTTCAGGCACTTTGGAAAATAGCTTGACTCCCTCTTCATTGTGGCAGCCCCTGAGATCATTAATTGGTTCCAGGAGGCACGATGAGTATCAAAAATGATGAGTACCAAACACATTTTTCTATAAGGAATAATGTAGTGAGTCACAAGGTGACCGACACCAACAAGTTCTAGCTTGTGCATTGAGTACCAATCAAACGATGAGTACTGGGACAAAATCTTCGCGTCAAAATGCATTGAGTACCAAATTTGATGAGTTTCAAAGGAGTAAAGTACCAAGATACCACTGTAAATAAAGATTGTTGTAAGATTAGAGATGTATTATTTAATATTTCAGTATTTTTGTAATGAGACATGGTTTTGGTTAAAAGTCAAAATGATTTTGCAGCAAACTTAGATACACTATATCAGCGGTCTCCAAACTATCCACCTCGGTGGACCAGCAAATGCGGTGGGAGAGGGGATGATTTTGCATGTGTGTGTGCCTCTTTCACAAATGCCGGTTGGTGGACATGCATTTACCCACCACTTCCATGGCCTGGTTTTAAATGGGCTGCAGCCCAGTACTAGGTCACAGACTGGGGGTTGGGGACCCCTGCACTGTATGATGCAACCAGAAGCATGGATCTGGAAATTAAAGTATCAAAGACTAAGATAGTTGTAGTTTATATAAATATCTCTCCACTATATTCACCCAGATAAATACATTACCACATGTGTTGGCCTAAATCAGTGGTTCTCAACCTTTCTAATGCCGCAACCCCATAATATAGTTCCCCATGTTGTGGTGACCCCCAACCACTTATACATCACTGGGTGCCAGGGGCGTGGCCAAAGAAAAGGGAAAAAAAATGGCGGACAGCCTTGTTTGGTGACCCCCGTGAAATGGTCGTTCGACCCCAAATGTGGTCCCGACCCACAGGTTGAGAACCACTGGCCTAAATCTATGTCACTTAAAACTCTGGCCAAGTTGGGTTTCATTCCAATCCAACAGAAGGGTAATAGTACTTATATCTAGATCCATTTTCAATCATCATACAGTTCATTTATTCTGTTTATCTATTCTGTTCTCATTAACTCTGGATAGCTTACAACTGAAAAGTAAAAAGCTGCAAAAGAATGCTTCTGTACACCTCCAATGGAAAAAAGATACTTAGGAGGATCAAAGGACACCATATTTCATTCATTCTTTCTATAACTTGTTGAATCTCTCTAATCCCCTACAGAAAAGGAACATTTTATACCATAGAGTCATAATTTTGAAATTATTAGTTAGACTTTGGACCTGATTTTTTTCATGCTTGGGTTTATTGTTTTTAGGATAGTGATCTATTTTAAGTATTATGTTTTGAAGAAGAAAAAATAATATATTGTAGTAGCTATTGGATATCAGTAGCTCTCTAGGAGCTAAACATATGTGGCTCATGAGCCATAAGTTGATGTCATGTATGTATTGTGGGAAGAATCCAGAGAAAGAAATATTACAGAATATATTTCCCCAAAGGATTTTAAAGGCAGAAACCACCCCCCCCCCCAAGTCTCTCTGCCCCAAACAGAAACCAGATCTGCAGAAATGCAGATGTAATAATCTTGTCAGAAAGATTGGAGCCAGGAGGCTTGGATCAGAAAGAAAGATCCCTAGAATCAGCAATCCCTCACACCAAAAATCCAACAGTCATCAGCCAGAGCCCAAGGGAAGCAGGATATGACCTTTGGGGCATAACAGGATTAACCTACCACCATCAGAATACTAGAAAGGCGCACTCAGACTCAGGTCAAAGTTCATGCCACAAGAAGAACTCCAAATACAAAGCCCAAAGGAGGTATAAAAGCCCACCACCTCCTGCTACATGTGGTCAGTTTTTCCAGAGCCATCTTTCTGTCTGGCTTTCCTCTTCAGTAAACTACAACCTTCTTTCTAAAGCAGTCTCCATATTGTTTATTCTCGGCTTGGATTAGACCCTGATGAAGATTTTTCTTCCAACAGTATGTATGTATGTATGCACAGATCCCCCTCTGTCCCAGAGTATAGATATTATAAAGAGACTATTTGTTTTCTGAGGTTTTTGCGGGTGTTTGTATGTAGGTCTTTGATTGGCACAGCCAACCCCCCATCCAATCAGAGCACAGCCAAGCTCCTAACCAATCAGAACACACCTCCACCCAATCAGAACACAGCCAAGCTCCCATCCAATCAGTTCATACCCCACTAGCAGTTAAAAGGAAGAAACAGCTATGATCATACATTGCTCCTAGAAGCAAGAAGCCGAAAACACCAGCCTGAAGATGATGAATGGGACTTCGTCGAAACGTCACCAAGACACTTCCAATTTGACGCGGGAGAAAACCCGAATAACCAAAGACCTACATAAAGAGACTATGTTCATACAACATAGACAATTGTTGTCAGGTAGTCCTCAACTTATAACAGTTCATTTAGTGACTGTTCAAATTTACAAAGGCATTGAAAAAAGTGACCTATGACAGTTTTTCACACTTACAACTATTGCAGCATCCCCATGGTCACATGATCAAAAGGTGGACACTTGGCAGTTGACTCATATTTATGACAGTTGAAGTGTCCTGGAGTCAAGTCACCTTTTGCAACTTTCTGACAAGCAAAGTCAATAGGGAAACCAGATTCACTTAACAACCATGTTACTAACTTAACAACTGCAGTGATTCACTTTACAACTATCTCACGAAAGGTCGTAAAAAGGTGCAAAATTCACATATCAACTCTTTCACTTAACAACAGAAATTTTGGGCTCAATATTTCGGTTGTAAGTCAAGGACTACCTGTATATTATAACTTAAGAAGTTTGCCTAGCTCACACAAGATGCTACAATAACATTGGGAACCACAAGTTACCCCAGCTCCATTTTAACCTAGGCTAGCATACAATGTGATCCTAACTAGGGAATCTCACCTCTTCTAGGTCCCCAGGGTAAGGGGCTGGATCCCATGCAACTAGTGTTCCCTGGGCATAGAGTAGTCCATCTAGAAAATGCTGCTCTGGAGAAGCCATTAGCTGTGAAGAAGAATGTAAATGAGAACATTTTTTTACCCACACATTCAAGTCAACCATGCAGCTGTGAGGAAAATAATCTAGTGACGTTCATCAGAATAAATGTACTTCCCTTTCATTTAGAAATAACTTAAAAACAATCAGGGGAATATCCTACATTTTGCAAGAATTACCCAGAAGCACCTTATAGATTTGCATAGAGGGAGAGCCCCAAATGTCAGATTCAGCTTCCTTTGTGATAGGCATTTTTTCTACCCTTTTATAGTTGTGCTGCTTCATTCTAAGCAATTTGCCCTAATTCCTTTGGTTGAGAATGCTAAATGCAGACATCTTCAAGTTGCACTTTGCAGAATTGCTGGAACTCATTTGACTAGGTCCAAATTACAGAGTTTCATTCAACTTCTCTTGGAACTCCTTAAAGACAGCTTAATAATTAATACATATTCTAAAGGCTGCTATTCTGATAATTTTCTGACCTTAATATTTGACTTTGAACTAAGAGTTGGATTCCAGGCATATTCAGCAAAATGCCAGGCAGAAATAGAGAAAACATCTCAGCACTATCTCCCATCAATCCAGCTTATATTGCAAACCACTGCTATAATTTCGGAGCAGTTTTTTTTTTAGAACAATGATCAAAGATGTAGTGAAGAATATCAAAATGCAGCTAGTGAAGAATATCAAAATGCAATACTAGCACTAGCAGCATTCATGACCTTAACAGCAATAAAATGTAAACTATCTCAATTATGATAAAACTTAAACGTATTTATATGAGCCCTATGCCCTATATTTGGCATTAAATTGGAATTAATACTGTAATAAATCAATTAATTGAGGGTGAAGTAAATGTTGAGTTTCATTTTTTTTCCAATTTTTTTATTAAGGATTAAATGGAAAGAATAAAAATCAATATAAAATATGCAAAATAGAAAAAAAAGTATGAGAAAGAAAAAAGAAAAGTAATAGAAAAAGAAAGAAGAAAAATGTCTTCCTTCTTCCCAACAAGTAAAAACAATTTTAGTAGCTTATCACCATCTCTAAATACAAAATGAATGTTGAGTTTCATCAATGACTTCTCACAAATATCTTATTGAAGTGACATCATAGTGACAATGGTTGCATGATCAAAGCCCTGACCCTTTTTAACACATGTATGTGTGCAATGCATGTAAAAATGGGCAGGGTTTTGATACTCTTGGATATGGAAATTTTAGCCTCTGTTATTTAAAGATTATTTATTGGGATCATATTCTAATTATTTTCAAATAGCCAGATCAAGGTTTATATTAAAAATGCTTAAGGGAAAATTAGCAGAGATGGGTAGGTCATATAGGTTAACTCCAGGTAAAGCAATCTTTACAGTGATGGAGAATCTCTGCCAGGTTTCAGGAGGTTTTATAACCCCACAGTAATCCTAGTAACCTAGCAACCAGATCCCAAAACACAAGCCTTGCAGGTCTCTCCTTATATCAGCTAAAAAACAAATGCAGGTAAGTGAGTGATAGATCTCAGTGCCAGAAAGATAAATCCAGCACAGGCAACTGAATCTGGGCCTGTATTAGAGAAAGGCTGGATAAAACCCCAAACTTGTCCTTGAAATCATGGCATCTGTTAAATGAGCCATCTCAGTTGGTCTTTGGATGAAGGGATCTCTGTTTCAGTAATGTTGTCTCACTGAAGGATCCAGATGATGATGGATTGGTACAAGTCATTTATTCTTCCATAACTCTCTGTGAAAGCTTTAGGATATAGAAATTTCACTGTGGGAAATCCAAATTCAAGACAAGGAGGAATTTCCTGACTGTGATCACAAATAGGCTGTGCAATAGCCTGCCTCCTGGAGTTGGACATGTACTATCACAGGAAATTTTCAAGCACAGGTTGAATAACTTATTTGTCTGGGCTAGCATAAGGATTATTGCCCTTGGCAAAGAGATGGACTAGAACAGTGATGGCGAACCTTTTAGAGACCAAGTGCCCAAACTGCAACCCAAAACCCACTTATGTATTGTTGTTTGCTGGGTGGGTGTGGCCCATTGGGTGGGTGTGGCCAATTGGGTGGGCATGGCCCATTGGGTGGGCGTGGCTGCCGTGGTAACGGCAGACTGGGTGAGACTAAAAAGTTCAATCAATCAATTCCAACTTTGCGAGATCTTTTTTTCCCACGAGAAGTTGAAATTGATTGATTGATTTTACCTTTTTTTTTTTGCACACGGCGGTGGAGGCCTAAAGTGAAAAGGTTTTATAAAATCCAGCTAAAGGCCTAGGACTGGGGCAACAGTGTGAGTGCCCACAGAGAGGACTAGAACAGAGTAACTCAAAACGTGGCATCTTTTAAGAAGCATAGACTTCACATAGACTTCAATTTCCATAATTCTCCAGTCCATATGCTGAAGTAGGAGACCTCTAAGTCTTCTGGAGTAGAAGACGTCTGAGATCTTCTAAGCTAATGAGTCTAGGCACTTCATTTTTTCTCTCAAGATAAAGTAATGCACATTCTGTCTTATAATTAAAGGTATATAGAGCAATTTGCCTACTTCTGTCATAACAGCTGGGTCTGTATTTGTCTGTAATTGTCTATAATAGGTCTGTAATTATCTGATTTTATATCTTTTCTATATATTGATATATTTGAGGACAGTTAGCTAAATATATTGAAGTAACAATGTAAGTTATAAAATATGATGCATATTAAAACGGCTAGAACTTCAATCACATTGGTACCTGGCCATCATCTTCACTTTTTTGACTATCTAAGGATACCTCTGATCTAATAATGTAATGAATTGAGGCTACTGTCTGTTTCACGGCAAACAAACAAAATTAAATCATTGGATTTTCTCTACCTTTTCCCCATTTAGCTTTTAACTACTCACAGGCTTTCTTTCTTTTATCCACAACTCAATCTGGCCCTCCAAAATTTATTACCAACCTGGGAATTCACAAGGCGGAGTGTTGTTTTTGTGCCCACATCATGTTCATAGCCAGCAGTTGGGGCTCCATTGAAACGAAGGACAGCATCATGGGAATCTGAGAAAATGAAAAAATAAGGGTAAGAGAGAGTAAGAGTAGGTCATCCCTCCCTGATCTGGCTTTATTTTACAATATTTTATAATAACATTCCGTTTCTCAGAGCAAGATGAGGTGGTGAAAACAGCCACAATGCTGATGTGGCCTGACTTCTCCTTTATTCAATGCCCCTGCTAACCAGGGCTACATTAAAATCTTTGCAGGCCCTGGGGCTTGCCACTGCCTTCCTAGGGCTGAGAGAGAGAGAGTAATTAGGCAAGGTCACCCAGATAGTTTTTGTACCAATGTCAGAATTAGAACCTTAGTTTTCTCAATCTTAATCGATCAAGTTAACCACTAGACTAAATTGGCTGTCCCATGTGTATGCATTAGTGTTATGCGTATGGGAGTGCATTAGAATTCTTTTTAATATGCTCTTTGTAAACTCATTGTGCTCATTGTTCCATTTATAATTCAGATTTGGTGAACAATCTGGTTGTTAGGTTATCAAGCCAAGATATACAATAAAACAGGAGATGGGCACAATTGTCGCTATGTTACTAGTGTTGAACTACGTTAATATATATTCTGATTTATATCCATATGGTTAATATAGATACAGTATATAATGCTGCATGAGTACCTATATGAAAAGTGAAATATCTGAGACTCACTCAAAGCAAGCCATAGAGGCAAAATGAATTATCCAGTGATAGTTTCTTGAGGATGGAACAGAACAAATATTTCCAAGAAGTTAATGTTTGTGTCATGTAAAAAATGCAAGCATTAATATTTCTAAATCTACAAGAGATGGTTCTTAAAAATGAAGTGATTCCCATAATGAGAGAATTGATACTTTCAAGTGAACTGGGATGAAACAATGGTACTCAAGTGGAAATGTAAAAGGAGACATGAGAAAAATGCTACAGTGAGATTGGCCCAGCCTTACTGGAAGTTATACAAGTGGATGGGAGCTGTAATATTATACTTTCAGAGCCATCAAATAAGTTGAAATATTTTGCATGGTGGAACTCAAGCCTAATTTGACTAGCTAGATATTGCATTGGATAGTTTGCTTAGGGTGTCTGTGTATGAGGCAGTAAAGCTTTTAGAATAGGAAAGGAACAAGAAAAGTAACAAAGCTGCATTTGTGTCTTGTGTTGTGAGTCTCTGAAGAAGTAAAGACAACAACTGGCCCTATTACACAGAATTTCTCAAAACTGTTAAGTGCCATCTAACCCAGAGGTCCCCAACCTTTTGGGCACCAGGGACCGGTTACATGGTCAGAGGTTTTTCCGTGGACCAGAGGGTGCATGGTTTTGGGTGCTGCCTGCATCCCGCAGATGGGGCTTTGCTTGTTTGTGTGGACCGGTTGGTGGCATGCCGTGGCCTGGTACTGGTCCACAGACCGGGGGTTGGGGACCCCTGATCTAACCTACAGTTTTTAAGTGTCTCACCAGACTGAATGACCATTTGCTGCAGCTGCTATTTTCTCTCTCCCTCCATTCGCCATAGAATTTGGGACTCTTCCCAATCTATGGGCTGAGTATGCTTTTAAGACTGTAACTCTCCGAACAAACACACTCCCATCCATCTCATTTGTTTATTCTGCCCAGAGTAATATTCAGAACAGCTTCAGGAGCTCCACAGTATTGATAATGTGCCAGTTTGTATAAATGTTGTTTGTATGTTGAGGATTGTTAATAGAATCTTTTATTATTCTGTATCAGAATAAAACCCCTTTCTAAAACTTTCCTCATCATTGGTCCATTCTTCTGAGAAAAAATCAGGGACTGCAATCTCTTAACTGGATATGCCTCTTCTAAAGAAACTCTATAATTATCATAGTATTCACTAGAAAACCTCTCTCTTTAAACTCCTCCCCCCCCCCGTTTCGCTGTTGTTTCTCAGTGGCAGAAAAAGCACACTTTTTCACTTTATCCCCTTGTGACTAGATGGACCTGCTTGCAGATTAGCCTGCTGTCTATCTTCAATTAACTAATCTTGCAAATCTTTCACCACCCACAGCCTGTTCATACACATTGCCAGGGCTGTGAATTCACACAGCCTACCCAATACCCTTGACAGCTTTCCAGCTCTCAAAAAGTTTCTCCTGATCAGTTCTCCTGATCAGTTTCCAAACATGATTTTTTCCTTCACAGCAAGTTTATACACCCCACAATATAACAGACAAGAAAATGATAAGACAACACTTGTCCACCCTAGATCACCAGGACCAGATGGACTACATCACAGAGTTCTTAAAATACTGGCAGAGGTGATCTGGGAGCCATCAAACCATATTTTTCAAAGATCCTGGAGCACTGGGGAACTACCAGAAGACTGGGAAAAAAAGCTGTGGTGGTTTCCATCTTCAATAAAAAGGGGGGGAAATGGTTCCAGGAAACTACAAACCAATCAGCCTGACATCAATACTTGGAAAAATTCTGGAAAATATAATCAAGCAACGGATCTGCGAACACCTAGAAGCAAGCAAAGCTATTACAAGAAGCCAACATGAGTTTATCAAAAAACAGATCATGCCAAAGAAATCTTATTGTATTATTTGATAAAGTGACTAAATTAGTGGATTAGTGAAGTACTGTGGACATAGTATACATGGACTTCAGTAAGGCATCTGACAAGGTAGTCCACAATTTACTTGGTAAGATAGAAAAATGTGGCATAGACAGCATCAATACTAGGTGGATTCATAACAGGCTGACAAACTGCATTCAATGTGTAGTCCTCAATGGAACTACATCTATATGGAGAGAAGTATGCAGTATCCCAAGGTTTGTCGTGGGCCCATTACTCTTCAACATCTTCATAAATGATTTAGATGACAGGATAGAAGGGGAATTCATCAAATTTGCAGATGACACCAAGCTAGAGAGATAACCAACACTTTTGAAGATAGGCTCAAGATCCAGTAGGATCTTGACAGACTTGAACACTACCTAACAAAATGCAATTCAGTGGTGAGAAATGTAACATTTTACACTTAGGCAAGAAAAACCAGATGGTATATCTGGCTCAACAGCAGTAATTGTGAAAGGATTCTAGGAGTCCTAGTAGACAACCTCTTAAGTATAAGCCATCAATGTGCTGCAGCTGCCAAAAAGCCAAAGCAGAATATCAAGATCATGTGTCTTAGTACCACTATATAACGCCTTGGTAATACCACATTTGGAATACTGCATCCAGTTCTGGTTACCATGGCACAAAAAAGATGTTGAGACTCTAGAAAGAGCGCAGAGAAGAACAACGGTGATTAAGGGTCTAGACTCTAGAGGCTAAAATATATAATGAGAAACTGGGCATGTCTAGTCTAACAAACAGAAGGATTGGGGTGACATGATAGCAATCTTCCAATATTTGAGAGACTGTCACAAAGAAGAGGGGGACAACCTATTTTCCAAGTACAGGAGGGCAAGGCAAGAAGTAACAAATGGAAACTTATCAAAGAGTGATCCAACCTAAAACTTTCAACTCTAATATTCTGTATATTTCTCAAATATTTGTTCCACTTCTTTTAGACTGGCAGTATATAGGCTGTTTTTATTTCCCAGTTGGAGTAGCATGATGTGCATCAACATAGCCCCTTCAAAAGGCATTGATCCTAGTTTGGGTACACTTTGCTGCTTCTGGACCTAGCTATATATTTTGAAATATTTTCTATCTCAGAGTTTTGCCCAGATTCCTTCTGGTGGTGGTGGCAGTATCATGGTTTGGATCTGTTTTGTGCCTCTGAACCAAAATGGCACACCAGTCACTAAATGCAAAGATTCAGATTTTATCACATGCAAATATGGAGCTTTGGATGATTTTCCTCAATACGTAAGTGAACAAGAATAATGTTTTTATGCATTTATTTAATTGGGTTCCCCTTATCTAGTTTTAGGATGTATTCATATTTATGCAGAAATATATTCACAGCCATTATTAAGTGCTAGATTCACTTAATGAAAGAAACCAATAATCTTAACCAAGCTTAGCATATTGTGCAAAAGCTACATGAATCTTTACCTATTCTGCCACAATAGCTCATGGGAAGACAATCACAGATTCACTTTAATTGGTTAAGTTAAAAAATCCCAATACATGGATGAAGAATTTTAATTATAATGATCCAATTAGTGGTGTATTGAAAAATATATAATAGTTTTGATACTGAATCCTGGATGGGTGGGGGGGACTGAACAGGAATTGGGGGTACCCAGATCAGAAAGAATAATCCCAAAGAAATGAGAATGATTTTGATCATCCAAATAGCAGTGAACTAGAAACAGGTTTTCTATTCTACGCATAGAATAAGCTAGAAAGGAAAGATGGGGCATCTACTGTAATATACAATTGTATTCTTTGGCTCTTCCATAAAAAGAAAATAATAACATTTTAATACAACCATGAATTATAGCATTTGTTTAAGAAGAATATATTTACCAACTCTATAGGGAAGATTAAGTAGACTAAGTCACAACCACCCTATGGGAATATTTTATTTTTCCTTTAACACTCACCAATCTCATTGCCCAATCCTGACCCCAACATGGAGCCAGCTGAGCTCACAACTGCACATGTCTTCAGGTGACCAAGATCTTCTGCCAAACTCCTCTGAGGCAGCATACCTCTCCATACTGGTTCTGCAAAGGGTCCTTCATCACTCAACACAGTGGACACATTCACACGGCTTTTGAGCTGGCACAAGAGGTCCATCCCAGTTAGGTGTGGATTGCCTGGCTGCTGCCCAGCACCTGAGGGCACCTGATACTTGTTCATTGTTTGATAGTTCTGGAAAACTTGTTGAAGACGAGGGCTCAGTACTTGGGATGAAAGCTTTTTCTGCCACACAGGCCATGGTACTGGGAGGATGGAATGAGAAACCTTCCTGAGTTGTTGAAATCCAGCAAGCACCTTCTCAAGACGTTGCCAGAACTTCTTGATTCTGGAGAAGAAGGAATCTTCTGTCAGAGTCTGTACTGTAATTTCTAAGTTCCGGTTGACTGATCCAGCAGCTGAGAGGATCTTCAGAGTTTTGTTTCTCTTTGAGGAAATTTGGATGTCCTGGAAGACTATTCCCATAAAGTTGGAGGGCACTCCTGGATCACGGGAGCCTAAATGCAGCATTATCCCTGACTGTAGGCAAACAATGCTCACTATAGTCAGACATAGCACAGCAAAACTCAACCAAATGCGGTTTGTCCCCCACTTCCAAGGTGGTTGTGCACACCATAAAGTATTCCCAGACCTGTGGAGAGATGGACAACACAAGGTCAGACAATCTTGATTAGCATCTGATTGGTTCTACTACCACAATATGTAGCATTGGCTGTTTCTTTAATGTCGCTTCAATTACAAAATAAATTATGATAAGAAATGACCTGCTAAAGCAAATGAAAACATTCATCTCATCTGAAATCTAATATTCCAGTGGCAATCAGATGGTTCTAGAAAGCCAACTGTGGAAGAGAAAGTGAAAGTGTCAAAATTGCAGCCCAGGAACTATACGTGACACAGCATCATCAATCTGGTGGCCTCCAGAATGGATGTAGTCAAAGAAAACTCTTGTTCCTTTTCTTTTTTGAATGTTTGAGAATTTAGAGAAATAAGATACAAAATGAATGTCATCAGCCTCACAGACACCTAAGGTACATATTTCACTTCCACCATAAAAACAGCACTAGGATCTGCTTACTTTTGATTTACAAACTTCTACATGCAGTGCAAAGCCAAAGTGGACTTTGAGCCAACTGATGTGACACATCTCTAGCATGAATGGAACTACCCTTCCTTGACTGATTTTCTGCAGTTATATATTTTCTATATGTGCACATTGATTTCAGTTAACTAAAATGGCTAGATTTGAATGTTCAGTGTCGTTTGAAACACATTGCCATATATCTGAGAGGAAAGAAAATGGCTCTAAACTCTATGATTTGAAATGAAAGCTTTTCATGAAGTATTGGTCCTTTGTCATATTTCTAGAGTTGCAGCATGCTGGAAACAATAATACCACAGGGGCCATACTAAAAAGGATCCCTCCCTCCCTGCATTTTACTGTTTGTGTAAAATGCATGCGAGACAAAGATTGATTTGTCCAACAGGACTTGTCAGAAAGAACAAGGGGGAGAAGGGGGACACCCAAATTTTGAATATCAAAAATTATTTCTATCTAGATTTAGACACTGATTTACAGACTGAATCGAGAGACTGGGGTTTCTAACATCAAACATTCCTAGTCCAGGTGCCATTGTGGGAGAAGAATGATCATCCAGTTCCTCTTGAACAGACAAGTCAAAAGATTCAAAAGGAAGAATGAAACTGGTAGAAGCATCCCCATCATGACTGAAACTTCATTTTAAAGAAAACCATTGTTTCGAACAGGAAATGAATCAAAAGGTACAATCTATGTCTCAATCTTCTTATTTATGAACTGGAAAGCCCCATGTTTTTGTGGCATTTTAAACATTGTAGATAGTTATGCGGTTGATAATTTAGATATTATTTTTTCATTCCTGAGGGCAGTCAGAATTGAACACATATTTTGAATACATATTGTGAAGATATTTTAGCAGCTTTTTTTAATATAATGAAAAGCCCCAATATTTCTGGCCTTTACATTAGCAATTTGATCCTACAGAAGTATGTTCTTATTCATATCTCCTATCTGACATGGAGTAATCAGAAACATACATAATGACAGAGTTTACACAAAACACACTAAACTAAATTGTGGGTTTGTGTTTCTCTTTAACAAAACCCCACTACTTTCTTAGTGTATTGTATAAATCAGATCATCTATTAAACTGTAGCAGGTCTATTTGGTTCAAGGCTAGCTATAAATTACTGTCAAATAAATATATAAACAAAGGCTGTAGTGGAAGGAACATGCTGTGTGAACACAACCATGTTGTTAAAACAGGACTTGGGGCTTGCAGTGTTGTGTGAATCCACTCATGATTCAGAAATATTTAGTACCACTTTTGCACAAAATTAATCTTATCTTTGGAGGTGGGGTAATTCGTTTGCTTTTTTTTTGTAGAATGTTAACAACCATGTGAGATTGTCTGGCAGCCATAATGTATCAGAATGTCCAAAAATACGTTTTGACATTCCCGCTCCACCTCTTCCTTCCCCGAAAGGATTTTGAGCAAGAAAAGTCATGAAATAAGAGGAGAGATCCTAATGGAGGGATGGCGGGCTAAGGGGTGCGAAGCTGAAGCTAAGATCCGATGTGAGGCCTCTCGGTGGTGAGATGGAAACAGCAAGTACCCTTTTGGGAGGTAGGCGAAAGCTCGAAGGGATCGCCTTGCGTTGCAGCTGTGGACTGTGCTGGGGATCGCCTCTCTACTCCCCTCCCCCCCGCACCTTATTTTTCTTGCTCTCGGCAAGTCCCGACCCAGAAGGTTGCGGGGGGGGGCGACGGTGGCCGGGAGGTTTTCTCTCCGAGGAGCCCCTGCACCGGGCGGACAAGGAGTCGGGAGGGAATTGGAGACGCAGCCTGACCTTGCTGGGATGCAGCAGAGGTGGTGCTCGTTGCAGAAGCTTCCAGTCCCATCCCAGCACTCTTACAGCTTGTCTCCCTCAGGAACCATCTCTGGTCTCCAGCACAGGAAAGCCCTAACCTGGCGACCGGCAGCCGGATAACCGCGCCGACGCTTCTATTTCGGAGACAGGAGGAGAGGCCATCAGCGCAGTGGAGATGGCAAAAAGAGGGGTCTTCCCTCGGGGCCCAGACAAATACTCCCACCAGGTCTTCCTGACAGCCCATTACTCAGGTAGAAGGTCACTCCTTACTCAGACTCTGGGAGGTCTCTAGGCTGCAGGGGCAAGAAATGGTCCTCTGGGATACTGGCCTCCTGGTCCTTTGGCTTTTGCTCCTCTCTCCTTGGGTCTCCAGGAGTTCCCCTTGCTGAGGTAGGGGGCAGGCAACAGTATAGCTCTAAAGCTTACCTTCTCCATATCAGCATCTCCTCAGTGGCTCTAAACCGCAATGTGGTCCAGAGGGAACGTTTCTGGATCACAAGGAGGTAGAATACAGGAGACAAGTGGTGCTACTGAGAGCCAGCTGTTCCTCTCTCTCACCCTGCAAAGTCTTCTGGATCCCCACTTCTCCCAGGAACAAGCAGAATCTAAAGATGAGGGTGAAGGTTCGTTCTCCAAGCTTGTGGGTTGGTTTCCAAATGTTTCTTACTAGGCTAGGTAGTGTCTTCACTGGAGTTTAGGGAATGTCAGTGTCAGCGTTCTTTTGTTTGTAAGGGCTTCGTGTGGCCAGTAGCTCTTGTGATGGTCCTTGTGATGGGTCAGGTGTGAATCATCAGTGGGAGCTTGTGATGGGTTTTGTGATGGAGAGGTTACATCAGGTGAGGGTCATTGGGAGGTGAAGTGATGTGGGGGGAGGCTGGCGTAGGTTGGTTGAGGGTTGATGCTGTCTCTGGTTAGTTGTGCAATTGATTTGTATTCTGAGGGGTTCATAGGCTGGTTGTAGGTCAATGTGTCTGTTGAAGGAATTGCTTGTGGCATGCCAGGTTTCGATGAACTCACGGATGGCCAGGTAGCTGATGATTTTTGTGTTACTCCTATCAAACTGGTGTTGTTTGGTGTCGGTGTGGGTAGAGATTAAGGATTTGGGATTGTGGTGTTTGACTGCCAGCTGGTGTTCATGGATCCTGTTTAATTGACGTGATATTTGTCCCACATAGAATTGATTGCAATTGATCAATTGATTTTGTAGATTACATTCTTTCATCCTTCTGTATCTTGTCTTTGATTCTGGATAATTCCTGGTGGCTGTGAGTTTGTGGGCTATTGCTATTCCTAGGGGTTGGAAAATTCTGCCTGTGATTTCCGACACTTTTGTGTATGGTAGGGTTAGTTTTTGCATGGTGGTTGGATGTGTGGTGTATTATGGTTTGTGTGCTATGTATCGGAATACAAAGTTTTTCTGGATAGCCATTAGGGAGAAAGATGTCAAGCAGCTGTTTTCTTAGTGTTGAGGTGCTGCAGTGTGTCCTGACTCTTCTGAAGAGAGCTTGGACATAACTTGTGTGCGGTGGGGTAGTTACTTGTGAAGCTAAAGACTCTAAAAAGGAGTGCTTAGCCATCCAAAGGCAGTCCTTCTCAGGGAAGCCTTCAGCAACAAACCTGAAACTTTGCCCTCCCCCAAATTTGTGCTGAGGGCAGGTGAGCAGCTTTTGTCCCCTCTGTTTCAACTAGCATGTTTAGGAATACTTAAACTACAGCCTTATTTTAATTTCCAGTCTGTATTTGCCATTGTTCAGGAAGCACCACTGCAACAGGAACTCCCTCCACTTGCAAGAAAAAAAGAAGCATTTTTCCCCTTCATCTAAGCAGCAGAGAGACCCTTTAGGGGACAATGTACATATGAAAAGACAACAATAAGAAAAGGAACAATCTTGCAAAAAATATTAAGGCAAAAAAAAGCTAAATAGACATAAAATGTTTCAATAAATCTAATTTATATGGAGAGCTATTATTTAATATAGCACTCTGTACCTTTGTCTTTGCAAATATTTTTTACCACCAACATAAATGCCCTGCTTTATGAATTGTCTTTTCTACTTTAAAATGTTTGCCTGTTTTTGAAGATGTTATAAAACATCACCACTTTCTCAAACTTCTTCTCTGTTTTGCGCTTCCTTCATATATTTGATCCTCGTTCATTTTGCCTAAGTAATTGCATTGAATCTATATTCATTCGCACCATTTAGTTCTGAGTTTACTTCTTTTGGCATTATCAATGGATTTAAATAGTCCATTCCCACTGCAATCTACTTTCCTTTGTATCAAACTCTCACTTCCATATTACAAAGGATAGAAGCCAGTGGTGGGATTCAAATATGCAAACATCCAATTCTCTGTGTGGATGCTGCTTCCGAAAGTCCGTACTGAGCCTGGGCAACAAAAAATTAGCTACCAGTTCTGCCGAACTAGTGCGAACTGGCTGAATCCCACCACTGGTAGAAGCACACTGATGTATACAGTACAGCTTTTTTTTTTTTCAGTAAATGTTCCATCACAACTCAAACCTAATACAAGCAGTAACAGTTCATTTCGTGACCTTTCAAAGTTACATCACTGAAAAATGTGACTTATGACTGTTTTTCACTTAACGACCATTGCAGCAGCTCCATGGTTACATGATCAAAATTTAGATGCTTGGCAAATGACTCATGACAGCTGCAGTGTCCCGGTGTCATGTGATCACCTTTTGTGACCTTCTGAGAAGCAAAGTCAATTGGAAAGCCAAATATAGTTAACAACTGTGTTACTAATTTAACAACTACAGTGATTCACTTAACAGCCGTAGCAAGAAAGGTCATAAAATGGGGAAAAAATTCACATAACTGTCTTGCTTAGCAACAAAAATTTGGGACTCCGCTGTGGTCATAAGTCAAGGATTACCTGTAAACTCTCCAGTCTTTTCTGTGAAGAGATAACACACACCCTCCATCCTCCTTTTAACAGAATCCAGCAGAAGTATTTTATGTTTGCATTCACAGTAGTTTTTGGAAGAACTCTGCATCTCCGTGTGCATGGATGAGGATGTACAGGCACCTATATGAACAGCAGTAATTTTCCAGCCTGTTTTATGTTGCTTTTTTTTTTAGGTGAAGGCACCCTCAAAATGCTTAGCAAAATGACCCCTCATCTCATGTCATGTTCTTTATGTCTCTGAACTCCCATGCCAGTTGTACCTTCTCTTATTCCAGCATATACAGGTGGGAGAAAATCGTTAAGCCAGAAAAAAAGGTCAGCCACTAAGAAGATGTAGCAGAATAGATATTTGCTAATAATTTACAAAACAGAAACATACATTATAGGTAAAATTTACAACAGAGACAAGATCTCTCAGTCATATTCTTTTGCCAACAAGCGATTATATATGCGAAAATGACCATCCGGTTCTGGCAAACTGCTTCAGTCTCCCACTGAAAAAAGTTGCCACAGTAAGAACTCAATTAGCCTTGAGTCGAGGGGAACAGAACGGTTGCCACAGATGGCAAAGAATGGGCCTGTTTCATAGCTCTGTGTTCTTCAGTTACTGCGTCCAGCCATGCAATGGTTCTCTTCTACTGGTTGTTTCTGGTCAAATAGTGCAGCTTGGCTTCTTGCAAGAAGTTTTGGAAGGCAGGTTCTTCATGGCTTTCCTCTGTCACTATAGTAGAAAAAATGAAGAGATGTGTTAACAAAGTGAGTCTCACTAATGCCTCAAGACCCAAAATGCCCTAGTACACAGATTGGCAACCTGTGGCTCCGGAGCCACATGCGGCTCTTTGAGCCTTCCCCTGCAGCTCCCAGCCTCCTCTGCCATTTGCAGAGAGAGACAGAGACAGAGAGGCACTTGTGTTTCCCTTCTCTCTCTCTCTCTCTCTCTCTCTCTCTCTGTGTGTGTGTGCGTAAAAAAGAAGAGTAGCCTCACCCTGTTCCAACGAGCTGACAAGTTTATTGGGCGGGGCTCCTCCCTTTGCTGTGTCTCTGCAGGAAGCAGGAAGGGCAGGAGAGAGCTAGCTAGCCTAGCAATGCTGACTCAGGAATTCTGGGAGTTGAAGTCCATGAGTCATAAAAGAGCCAAGGTTGCCTACCCCTGAGCTAGCCCAAAAAGAATGTGTATCAGCTTGTTGGAGAACAGTTTGAAGCCAGCTTGCCAGGTGAGCAGAAGATCAGAGGGAGGAAGAGAGAGGTGGGGGGGGGGAGAAAGAGAGACCCTTTTGACATCTAAAATGAAGATAACACTGCATATATCCCTTTTTACCTTTATGATACACACACACACACACAGACACACACACACAACCTATAATAAAGGTAAAAAAAGATATATGCAGTGTTATCTTCATTTTAGATATCAAAAGGGTTTTCCCAGTTCCCAGTTTTTGGTGGGAAATGGGTCCAAGTGGCTCTTTGACTGTTTTGGGTTACCTGCCCCTGCCCTAGTAGAAACCAGCATCACCATAATCCTTTGTTGAATTATACAATGAATATAAAACAGTATGTATATACGTACGTACATATGTATTGCATTTTTATACAACCCATCTCTCTAATACAGTAACTCTGGGCAGCTTACAATATAATAAAAGTTAAAAAGTGCAAAAAACAATTAAAAAGTTACAAATTAAAAACCAAGATGATGGGCGGCCTGGGCAGAGAATCATCTCTATCCCATCAGCCACCTCCAATGTAGTGGGTCCTTCTCTGGCCCAGACCAAGCAGCAGAGCCACATTTTTAGGCTCTTTTGAAAGGCCAGGAGTTTGGAGGTGGATCTCACCTCTGACAGAATATTCCAGGGACCACAGCAGAAAAGGCTCTTCACCTGGACTCCACCAGCCAAAATTTTTGGCTGATGGGATCCAAAGTGAGTCCTTTTCACCAGAACAAGTGGGGCAACCCCAGACACCCTGGTCCCGTGTTATAAGGGGCTTTAAAGGTAATGACTTTATTGTTAGGAAATCTGTGTAAAGCAACTGACGGGAAAACGCTGCCACCCTCCCTCTTAGCTTGTATCTTGCAATTTTTAATTCCTCCTATTTCTTCAGAGCTTTAATTACCTTTATGATCAATGTCATCAGTATCGCTGTCTTGGGCCTCTTCTTCCTCCTCTTCTGGATCCAAAGTTCCTCGTGTCAAAATCAGTTCTGATGGGCCTAATGAAGATTCTGCCATTGAACCTTTGGACCAAAATCAAACCAAAAAGCAATTTTTTTATTTCTTCCTGTGCAGTAGGATGAACACCTTGTCCAGGAGTTCCATGCCAGGTCTCAAACTCTACAAGGTCAGAGGAGGGTGTGTATACGTGACGCCTAAATGAGGGCTCTGAGCAGCTTTAGAAATTTAGCAAGGCAGCAACAATAGTTGCTTAGTCCTATAGCTATAATGTAATACCTTGCCAGATGAAGTGCCATATCCCTTAGGTCAGGAGTAGGCAACCTTGGCTCTTTTATGACTCGTGGACTTCAACTCCCAGAATGCCTGAGCCAGCATGGGGTTGCCTACCCCTGCCTTAGGTAAATTCCTTAAGTAAGCCAATGTATACAAATTCCATCAGCAGCCCTTCCTTTTCTTCTGTGATTCTCTGTGAAACCCAACTATACCCTCAAATATTTAGTGGAGCAGATAAAATGATGACAGCTATTAACCTGAACATACTTCTAAATACTGCTTGATGGCTTGTTAGCTTATTCATTAATCAAAGTTATATAGTTGCCCATCTCTTCAAAAGTGATTCTGAACAGCACAAGAAAATAAAATGTAAAAAATTACAGATATAAGGATCCATGCTAATAAATATCATTTAAAAAAATAAGATACAAACCCTAGGTGATGAGAGGGATAAAAATGCCTACCACAACATTTGAGCCATGTCAGCAAGTGTCCTGTACCTTGGAAGGCCCAGGCCTGATAACATAACGAGGTCTTGAGGCCTATCAAAAGGGATGGAACTAATCTAATTTTGAGGGAAGGATGTTCCACAAGGCAGCATTATGGTGGAGATGTAGTGGGACCCTAGCTAATGGGACCCACAACATGCCCTCTCTGCTGGATCTGCTGGGGGGGGGGGAGCTGATATAACCAGGTAAAAGCATTGCTTCAGAGAGTTTGATCCCATGCCGTGAAAGGTTAAAAGCAGCATCTTGAATTGGATCTGGAAACAAACTGGCAGCCAATGCAGCTCATATACTAATGGT